GTGTTTTCAGGTGCCCCTAAATGTCAGCAGGTAGGTGCCTAAAGTCACTTACCCTCCCAGGCCCCTGATCCAGAAGCTGGTTGGAGTGGCATCTATGCACCACTAAACCCTCTCAGCAGGCACAGATCCCAAGGGATGCTAGATGTATCAACCAGCTCACGTGTCTGGAGAAAAGAGTGGATTTCGGCCAGGTCTGACTTGCTGCAGGGCTGTGCTTTTACCAGCGTTAGTATAAAGGGAAAGTGGGTAATGTATGGGGTAGGAGGAGGGGGAAGCAGACCAGTTTTGTTGAACATCTAGTCAGTTTTCTTCCTCATTCGCTTGGGAGGCAGTGGAGCATCCCAAGGTTTCCAGAAACTGTGTCTATGTTCAGAAGCTTGTGTGCTTGTGTTCCCCACTGCAGAATTTCAAGACCCTGCCTCAAATACGATCGCAGCTAATCATATGTAGTATTAAAACACTTGAGGCTTCATCTCAGAGCTTCCTAAACTAGTTTTTTTTTCTAATACATAGCACTCCTTCTCAGAAGATGGTGGCTGATGGATCCTTATTCCTGTAGGAAAGGTGCTTTAAGGGGCTGTTCTGCTTTGATGTGGTTTTATTTTTCTTTTTTTTCTTTTTCTTTTTTTTTTTTAAATGCCCATCATCTTTGTGTTTAATTTAGCAAAGCTGTAAAAAAAAGGTGCTTACTTCAAATGATGTGATAATTTTCGTCTCTCTGTCTACATTGTTTATACTAAGATTTCCTACTTCTATTGTCTTAGCTTCCCAAACACCTTTTTTAAAGCAAATAAATTAAGATTACATCTCATTCTTTTATAAATGAACTCTATAGCTGCTTCTCATCTTGTATGCCTTTTTCCCCTTTTGCTTAACAAATGTCAATCATTAAAGCATATGCAAACAAACTAACAGTTATGATTCAATGATGCTGACTCACAACATCCTGGTGAGGGCTTCAACCTGCTTTTCATACCCAAATCTAGCAGCAGAGCAGCCAGAGTACTTCTTTCAGAATATTTGGCAGTCTTAAGTGGTCAGACAGAAGCTGGTGAAAGGGCATGGGAAAGGCAGCATGGTTCAAAGGAAAAAACGATAGATGCTCTTCTCTTTTATTAATCAAAGGCTAGAAAGTGCCTGGTTACAACCATACATAGAACTACAAGTGTTTTATTTCAAGCAAGGTGAACAGAAGTCGCTTCCTTGAGTTGCATGAAACCTTTCATAGCAGCAACTGCTGAAAATGAAGGGGTCAAGCTAGATTTCTGTCTAACTTCTGCCTAGGTTTGCAAGCTTTTCTACAGGCTTTCTAGTTTCTGGCAGACGATGGTTTCTTTTTTAAAAATTACAGTTTTGATAGATCTGATGTGTTTTGCAAGGAATATGTTCCTCTGCAGAACTGCCCTCATCCACAAGACTGATACAGTCACATTCCTTGGACTCGCTGTGTGTGTATGGAGCGATTATTTATCATCATGATATCTGATTTTTAAATCTCCTGCAGACATTCTGCAGTTGACCTCTGCACGTGTGACAACTCTAGCATGTCTTGGACCTGTTGGACTTTCTGCATACCTGCAGATTACCTCTGCAGGAGCCATCTTCAGAGGATGGATGGTCTGTTTCTGTTTGTGAGAGCTGAATGACAACCAGACTCGGTTGCAGACTCTCTCAGTATTCATAGTTTTGCTGTCAAATAAGCCATTTCAGTGCATTTTTAAAATTTCTTCCTTCTACTTCCTCCTACTTACTTTCTCCTAAAATAGCCTCCTTTGTCTTATCAGTAGCTCATTTCAGAAAGAGAATATTACTGCACTCCTTGGTGAGCTTATTGTGGTACTAATCTTTGCATTAAGTTTGTGCTTCTGTTCCTCCTTGCTGGCACCTTCAGGGAGATCTTTTTCCTTGGGCTTGTGGGCTGGATCACTGTCCTAGCTTTCACCTGGAATATTAAGGAAAAAAAACAAACCACCCAACAAATAGAAATAGAATTAAGCTAAATCCCCTTAGAAAGATTCCTTATCTTGGAATAGTGTCTGCTTGGGTAACTTAATTCATTATCTGTCTTTTCTAGACACACTAGACTGCCAAAGGACTGGCTGCTATGAACCAAACCTTTTTCTGTTTGAAATCTATGCACCTCACTTCCAAAAGTTCCAAGTACTGCAGCTAAAGAAATTGATGTTTTGGAGAACACTTTCTGCTCCTCTGCCTTTGCAAAATACCATAGTTACTTTTGGGATCTGGCACTGTAGGTGGATGTTCCTTTTGTGTTGATATTCCTATAGGTAAAAACAGGTTTAGTGAAGGCTCCTTTGTATTCCTCAGCACAGAGGGTTTGTTAGGTCTGGGGATGAAGACTTCAGTATGCACCTTCTCCCAAATGCCTGTGGTGTCTTGGGTGCAGAGCGCCACTGACACAGCTGCATTGGATTTCCAAAGCTCCCCATTCTCTGCTGCAGCACAGGTTATAGTATATCTTGATGGGCAGGTAGCTGTAACTGTGTTATATATAGCACTAGAGTCAAAAGCAGAGTCCTTGATTGTGGACGAGACAGAACCATGCTTGTTCTCCTTGGCCACAGCTGCTTGTTTGCTGTCCTGCCTTTGCCCGCCTGCTTTGTGCTGCTGAGGTTGGCCAGCTAAAGAGGGAGAGGACAGAAGTTGATGAGAGCTCTTTGGACAAGTTGCACAGCCGGCCTCTTCCCTGCAGGGGTGAAGAGATATTGCTTCACATACTTGGTTAACAAGCTTGGCTCACAAAAGATGTTTTCCATGCATAATAAAGTAGAAGTGTTCTTAAAACAGTTGCACTTGAGTTCCCCCATGTTTGCTTCTTGAAGCTGTAAAGCAGAAAACACTGCTCAGCGTAGATGCGTTTAGGGGACGGTACAGGTTGTAAGTGGGTCATCTTGGATACATCTGTAGAATGTCTTAAAAAAAGCTTCAAGTCCAGTGCAAGCAATTATAGAAAAATCCTGACAGTTTTGTTAGTAGAAGAGATGAGGAGCTGCCATATATAGAGAAGGGATTTAAGATGATTAATGTACATGAGCTCTCTGGTTCCTGGGGCAAATACAGAAAATAAAGTCTAAGCCATTGTCAATATTCAGAGCGAGATGAGCATTGGACAAACAGAAGGATAATCAGAAAACACCAAGAAAACACTCAAAACTGGGCTGTGTTTCAGAGCCAAAATGACTCTATGCCCAAGCACAGCAGAAGTGGCCATTTGTGACTAGGCTAGGAATGTCCTTAATAGGAAAAGCAGGGATTATAGCTGAATGAACGAAACATCCAAGGCTTGAAAGCATGTTAAGTGTGTTTTGTAAACCAAAGTATTCTGGCAGGAATCCAAACAAAGCTACTCAAATGCTGGTGCTGTCCTGTGAGAAAGTTGGCTATGAAGAGGCTTGCTACTTCATTTAAGGCAAGCCAGGAGGGAGATTAGGGAGTTCTTGAGGATTTTTCTGTCAGTTTGGAAAGTAAATGGAAAAAGAGAGAAATACTATTTAAAATACTCTGGTTTTTTTGAGTATTTTAAATAAATTTTGCTTTTTGAAGGTGAAGAAAAATACAGATGGTAACTTGGGTACGAATCATGTTTAAACAAACAGAAGAACTAGGAAGTAGAAGAGAATTACCTGGCCTCAAATTAGGAATAAGTAGAAGTAGCAGAAGCAGAATAACAACGTTTAAGAGTTTGTTCACCATCTGAACAGATGGTATACAAGACATTCACTGCAATTAAACTGAACTGGACAGTAACAGCAGTAGAAGGTAGAAGTACAAAAGGAATTACCTCTGATGGTAGTTCCTTGGCTGAAAAACATCTCAAAAAGTGAGATTTAATTAAAACAGGGTGGCTTCTGACTCTGGATGCCAGTACTGTTGCTGTCCTTCCTGAAACAGGGTACTGGGACATGAGTTGCAAGTTAGACTCACAAATGGTCTTAATTCTATGATGTTGAGGACTGTAAGATCAAAAATTCACGTGCCTTTCTGTCTAACAGAAAGTGCCGTGTGGATTCCCTTTGAAATACCCAATTGCAACCAGGCCTCCTGCAGATCCAGCAAACACTAAATGTACTTAGGCTAGTTTAAGGCTCAACCATTCTAGGGCCCCTGCCACAGAGAGAAAGACAACATCACAGGCAAGGAGAGGGTGAAGAGAGCTTAAGATGCATCCACACTTTCAACTTTGTTTATTCGGCAGCTTCTGCATCTTCTCTACCTCTTGCCAGTTGAGATGTTCAGTCCTAAGTCTAATAGTGGAAACTACCTATTTAAGAAAGAGTGATTAAAGCACTTAGTTAAGACTCTTCTGGGAAGCTGAGGTGTCTCTATCTCAGTACATATATAGGAATCTTTGTATCTGTCAATGATCAATACCTGCTGTGGGGTTTGGTTTAGCTTTCTTATGTTTTTTTCTCTATGGAAATGCTGTTGCCATTGACAGTGGGACGTAACATGCAGCTTTCCAGCACAGTCATGCTAGTAGTACCTTGCTGTTTGTGCAATACTTCTGTAGGCAAAGAAGCACAGGTAAAAATATCACAACTTTTTAGTAAAAGATGGCGCTCAATGTGAAGTCTTCTGCCACTAGGTAGAGAATAGCTGTGGTAAATCTAAAAGATAATGGTAACCTTTTGCTACAGTTGCAAAACTTGGCTTCCTGCCCCTAACACTGATTGGCATTGGCACACAAGTGACAATTAAAAATAGTTAAACCATAAATATTTGATATGGAGAAGATTTGTAACATTATTTCTTCCAGGTAAAGGATTTAATTATTTCAAGTTGAGAGAAGAATAACTGCACAGAGGTGTATTTTTTTATATCCTGTTTTCCCATTCTTAAACTGGGCAATAGACTGTTTAAATTTTATTTGAACGGATGAGCAAATGGCTGTGTGACTTGTCTTCTTCCTTCCTCACTGTGCCACTCACTTCCTTCCATCCCTGCTCCTTTATTTACTTCCTTCATTCTTTATTTTTAAGGACTTGCTCCTGAGGCCAATAAGTTAGTCAGCAGCTTGAAAACAATGCCAATGCTGCATGACGAGGCGTTTGCCCACGAAACAAAACTGAACAACTTCCATGAATTTCCAGATAACACACTGGTGCTCCCGTAAGTACATTTTCCTTGGGGAGGGGGAGGCTTAGCAAGTAGCTTGTTAATTTTCAGATAATTACATCTCCAAATATTTAATGTGAAGAATACATTATGAGATTAGCAGAAATGCATATATTGACTTAAAAGGCAAAAGCCCACCCTGTCTGGTATGACAGAAAATGTCTGGTTTGATGTATTTACCATAAGGTGTCTTACAACTGCTTGGGAAATAACGTTTAAATTGGGCAACAAGTAGCAATTCTGGGCAGCTTCATCCTACATTTTTTCCCCGTTTTGTATATTAATTTGCTACTGTACAAATATACAGACATCCTATACAAACTAAGAAAACTGTTTGTACAGTCTGTGTGAATTATCTTCAGCATATGTCTGAAAAAGTAGCATCTAATTAATGCATCTGTGAATAGGCCTCATGCTTTCATTCTGCAGGCCTTCTGTTTTCAAAAATCTCCAAAAGCTGACTGTCTTTCCCAGATTTATGCAACATTATGATAATAAGCGATAAGCTTATAATTTGCATTGCTTCTTAACTGCTGGGCAATGATTAAAAAGCTTATAAGTTTTGTTCAGAGGACAGTATGGTAATTTGAGATATTCCCCAGCTGTGATGAATGACTGCACCCCTGTAAACATGTTAATAAATGGGACTCTAGTTGGTTTGCTATGAGAGTAAAAATGGTTGTTCTTTAACCCTTAAGGAGAAAATTAGGGCATAAAAAGAAATTGCAAAGTTTATTAATTTCTTTCTATTTTGTATTGAGGTCTCTGCGTAAAGCTTTTAAAAGTAAACACTGCAAGGCAGATGGCAGGAAAGGGGGTAAAGGGAAAATGAATGAATTCTCAGTGGAGTTAATACTGATGTGAACATACAGTTTGTGTTAAATATGATGGTCATAGTAAGAAAAACTGAGCTCTGTTATGATACCCCTGCTTGTAACTGAATAGCTTTTAAATACTTTGAGGGATTTGAAAGGTAACAAAACTACAGTAATAAAATCCTCTGAGTCCTAAAAATACTTCTCCTGACACATCTTTTCCATGAAGAACAGAAAAGCTTAAAACAATCATTCACATAAGAACCTGAGGTTTAAAAACCAATCTTGTCTTGCTTTCTGGCACTGCTGAGTGCCATTTCTGGAGGTTAGTCATGGCAGTTTGCCATTTTCTCTTTTGTGCTAGCCGAGTGATATTTTAACTAGGCAGTTGAGAAATATTGTGAGTTTCTGGGGGAGAAAATAGGAGTATTTTGTGAACTTTGTATACCTGCGTGATAAGCTCAATGTGAAAGGGACGACATGATCTCTTAGAGGCATCAAAAGTTGTAGACTAGGTTGGTCTCTGCTGTTGTTATGTGGTGTTTTATTTAAACAACATATCCACAGGGGAGCTTTCTTTTCACAAATTTTCGACTGCCTTCCAAAGTTACTCTTGGCACATGTAAATATGATACCTGCAAGGCAATTTTTCTTATGAAGTCTAACTTCTTAGGTACAGTATGTCAGTTGGTTATGAATGAAAACTAGACATTGTTTCAATGTTCCTCTGCTGTGTGCAACTGTCTTATAGGCCTCATAAGGGGAGTGGTTCTGCAGGTTTTATTAGCTGATTAATTGCTAATTGACTCTTGTTTTCTGTATATTTTATATTGTTATAAATATGTACAAGAATAGCAAGTGGAAGACAAAAGTATTGTGAATGGTGAGGGAAGGTGATCAACATTTGTACGCTCTAAGCACTGTATTTTGGGAACTGTTGCACATCCATGCAGTATCATGGTCTTTTCTGTAGCCTTTGACTGTCTGCCAGTGTAAATGTTGAAGCATCTATCACAGTTACAGATGGCAAGGAGCTTTCCATCATCCTCAGGCAGTGCCGAAGCATTGAGGACACTCTGAAGATGATCCTGTTAAACATGCTCCAGATGGCTCTGCCTGGAAGAGCAAATAGGAAGGGCAGAGCTCACCTGCTAGCAGGTCTTTGGTAGCTGCTTGTTGGCCACTGCCATGGGTGAAGATGGTGGATAGTCTATCCTCTTCCAAGCTTCAGAAAACTAGCAGAAAAAATTATTATTAGTATTCTTATATTACCCCAAATTTTAACTGCCAAGCTGAAGACAGCATGCTTAGAGCTAGAACAATCCCACTGTGACTCTATAGCCATCACCACCTTTGAGAAGTCCCCTTCAAATTTGGGATCGAGTGTGTAGGTATTTCTTAATCTTTGGTTTCCATCTGCTGGGCTACACACTGCATGATGTTTGAAAGTGTTACATTCCTCAGTCCCACAGTACTTTAGCCTGTTGCTTGACCTTTTGGTTATGGTTTGTTTTGTTGGTGGTTTTTTTTTGTGTTTTGTTTTGTTTTGTTTTGTTTTTTAAACCTTGAGTAGTTGCTTTTTATTCCTTCTGTTGTGCTTAGAGCAGTCTTTTCCCAGTTGTCAAGGTTGCACTTGTTCAGTGGCCAATAACTGATTGCCACTGAGTTGTCTGTAGTCCTGAGGTCTCTGTTTTCAGCCTATTTTAGGTTCTTTGCAATTACCACATGCTTAAATTCTGCTTCATAACAAAAGACAGCTATATAGCAAACTTTCATGACAAGGTGACAACAGACCTTAAGGATAGGACTGGGGTTTTACAAAGTTAGCCTATTACTAGCAAAGGCAACAGTTTACTTCAAGATCTTAACTAACCAAGAGAGTTTATTCTGAAATCTGAGGTCATAGAAACTGGGAAGAGTGGATCTTCTAAAGGCCACAGAAATTAATCCCAGTCCTAAGACTTTTAAGAGAGGATACCCTTTGTGTCAGGAGTGTCTATTTATAGGAGAACTATTTATATTTATCAAAGCATCAAAAAGTTGTTTCAACTGTTCTGTTGACCCCTTATATACCTTGGAAACTTTATAGATTCCCCTCAATAGTCTATGAAGCATTTTTAAACATTAATGCTTGCTATCGACTTTTGTTAGAACTCAGTTACAAACTTAAAGTAAGTCTGGGTTCTTCTTTTCTGTCCTTAGTTTTGTCAGCACCTCTCCACCTCCCAGATTGTATTTATTATTAAATTACATTTAGGGATTTGTGCTTTAAACCACATCAAGCCATGAACTTCTGAACTTGTGACTTAATTTTCCACATCTAAAACCATTTTTTTGCCATAGACTTGGGGGGTGGGGAGGAAAAGGGTGAAAACTACTGATATAGAGAAAATGTCAGAACTGATGAGCTGGTATCAAATCTAAATTTTTTGTTCGTTTATTTCTCCAATTCTCTTTCTCTGTAGTGTCTCTAAGCAAAACAAAAGGATTTTTTATACAATCCTGGAGCTCTCACCACTGCTTGATTCTTCCAACATGACCCCAGATGACTGGGCCAAAATTGCAAAGAAACTTGAGGTACTGTGGTGTGCAATATAATTAATTTGTTGCTTAAACCAAACCAGCAGTATATCTAGTATACACAGTGAGATAAAACAATTCAGTAGTGCTATAGATATACATTTATTTAAAATTTAAATGGTGTGTACCTTGTTTAGTTACTTGCAAAGTAACAAGTACTATGAATTGTCAAATTTTATTTTTCTTTTGAAAATGTTACAAACTCATTGAAATTATGTAGTTCTTACAACAATATGACATATAATAATTCTGTACAAGAAAATAAATAGGAAAATTGCAGCTATGACTGAATAAGATATGTAATATGTTGAATGATATGTTCTAAAATGTTGACTTAAATTTACTTTCTAAAAATGTTGAATAAAATCCTCAGTGACTTAACTGAAGGTTGCTTGATAACACATCATTTGAGTGTCCAAATAGCTTAATAGTTGGCTGTTGATGTAGAAAATTTCATGTCTTCATGCCTTTCTCACTCTGGACTCAGGCAGACTTGACTAGCTGTGGCTTTGCAGCAAGTAGAAAAAAACACTACCATGGTTAGGTTTCCCACACTGGGGAATCTTTAAAGCCTGAGATACTTCTGCATATATAAATTCATTACATCCTCCCCTAGATTAAAAAATCAGCATTTCTCTGCTCCTGTCCCTGTGTCTGAACTTAGCTGTCTGCTTTTAAGTAAGTAGAAATGCAAAACATTTCAAATACTTCACACCAGGAAGTCATACATAGCTGTTAGGAATAAATAACTGTGGGCCTAGTAAGATACTGCTCTTCCATCCCTGCTCACTCAGTAATAGTGGGCTTTATAGTGTAAATTTTCTTCTCTGACCAAGCTGTAGCAATGCATGCAAACAGTATAACGATGCAGGGAATGATGCTGAAGAGTCAGCTAACAGTCTTTCACCTTTAGGCTCTCTAATCCTTGAAAGCACCAAACTAGGGATGATGCTTCTCCTATCCAATGCATCTTGCCAGGACAGAGAAGAGATGGAGCTGGTGTATAGGTGGAGAGCCTCTAGGATGGAGCAGGGGTGCATCTGGGAAAAGCTTAGGGCCAAGAGTAGGAGGCAGCAATCCCATGCTCAAAAGGAGAGAATTTACCTTTCTTCCTTAATGGCATACTAGTTTTATTACCAAAAAAATTGTTTCATTCTTGCACCCAGTATGCAGTTTCTCTGCATGTACAAATATCCAGTACATGTAATCCAAGTGAAAAATGCAGAAAAGGGAAAAAAACAACCTTCTTCAGCTGTCCTTCTTATGTATAGACACTGCCACTTTGTGTCCCTCTTGGACATGTGCTTGGCACAGCTGTAATATGCTGATGTAACTTTCCAGACTGAAAATTCTAAGATGTTTCTGTGGGATGTCTCCTTAATTGCCAGCCTGATCTTTTATGTTACAGGGCTTGAACCAACCTATGTTCTTTAGCATCTAATAAGGTTGATAAGGCTGAAAATATTCCTGAGCATAGTGACTGGATTAGAGAGGACAAGTGGCTATTTCTGTGACCTCAGCCCTTCTTGAAACTTACCTCATTACTGCATGGATGAATAACAACAGCGTTTTTGTGTCATGCCATAGTTTGGCCTACAGGAAGACTTTGTAATGCTGGCTGTTGTTCTGCTTGAAACTTCCAGTAGGTAGCAACATGTAGGCATGAGTATCAGTGAAGAAATAGCAAAAGGACAAGATCTTCAGGTGAGTTTGGAGGTGACATTTGTATCAGGAGATGCCAGGCGTGTGTGCCTACTCTAGCATAAGTGTAATGAAAAAGCAGTTTAATTCTATGGCAACCCCCCTTTTATTTCCCCCTGTCGGCACTTCATGTACCTGCTCTTACTATTACATGGTCCTTTCTGTGTTACCAAGTTACAGTGGAGGCATCGATGTCCCTCACTACAATGTTTATTATATGCATCACTCTTTAAATAGAGGAATCAGTTCCTTTTTCCTCCAAAACCCAGCAGATTATTTTATTCAAAAAAGATGAACTGTGCAGTTCATGGCTTTGCATTAAAAAAACTCCTCTGTGGAATTGTATGTAGATTAAAGTTATTATAAAGTTCTTTTTTTTGTATCTGTACGTGCCTAACAGTCTAAGAGACTTCTGAAAACCCAGCAAGTGTATGTACTTTAAAGACCAATAAGAAGCCCCCGCAGCTCTTCCTGCTGTCGAAGTCCCATACTGGTACAGGCAGGAGACGTGCTCAACAGGAGAGGGCACTCTTACACTGGCGATTTGCCTGTCTGCCGCCGCGGTCAAAGGGACTGGTTGTTCTGTACCTTAGGACAGCCTCGGTTTGCCTAATCTGCTCCTGTAAATGCTGTAATCCCCAAAGTAAAAGTGGCAACAAGAAATCAGACTGTACGACTAATTTGCATATGTTAACATTCCTGTTTAAAGCCATTGCTAAGCTTTTCTTAATTAGCAGTCTTCTGGTTTAAAACTGATGCATTAATATGTATACCTAGAAGAATCTCTTTGACTGTTCCATAATTAGAGTGACTGGCTGTAGTGCTTAGTGTCCTGTTAACCCTTGATTGTATTTAAACCAAAACCAGGATAACTTTAGGAGGAACTGTGCGTGTTGTACCCTTTAAAGTATTCTTTTCTTGCTTGCATTAGTGAAAGTAATGCAATATGTGCCTCACTTGCTGGTGCCAGTGCATTGCTCTAACAGTGTGAAAACTGCCTCTCCATCTCCAGGAGCACTATGAGAAGTATGATGGTTTTGTGATCCTTCACGGCACTGATACCATGGCCTACACAGCTTCAGCTTTATCCTTCATGTGTGAGAACCTGGGTAAAACTGTTGTTCTGACAGGATCTCAGGTAATGCCCTTACTTTGAAGTCAAAGTCATTTTTGTTTTTTATATACAATCTAGGTAGTATCCTGATTATCGCTGTGTAGTTAAGTAGTGTAGGGCAGGCCTTTGGCCAGGGTGAATGGCCACAGTGTTGATAGAAATTAGTGAGAATTGGCAGGCTTACCAGCTGAGGATCTGCCACATAATTTTATCATTAATGAATTTACAACTCTGTACCGAATCAGGCCAGTAGTTCATTGTAGCTGGGGCCAGATGCTTCAGAGGAAGATACAAGAGCCTGTCATTTGCCATTGTGTATTAATCGGTTTATGTGAGAAGCATCTTCTAGCCTCAGGTGGCTGCTGTTTGTTAGCTGCCTTTTTTTCTTTTAAAGCCTTGAAGCTTATTACTTTTTACTTCATCAGTTGTCATGCTTTCTTATGTTACTCATTGTTGAATTCGTCATAATTTTTTAAATAATCTCTAAGCATTAGATGAGTTTTTGATCATTTCTGTTCCACAAAGCATCTAACATGGTCTGTGTCCTTTCCTCTCAAGACTACATTTATTAATTTTCATTCTGTTAGCTGGGGATGAGCCCTTAGCATATTGTCTGAGGGGGAGGGGTTGTCTTACTAGACTGGTGTGCTTGAGTGTAAAATACAGCTCTAATCACAAAGGAGAGATGAAACATCACGCTGTAAAATTCCCCTCCCCCATCTCATAACTTCCCTTTCACATGTGGTCTATTTGAAGTCAAAATACAAAAGTCTAGGAAGGAGCAGGCTCCCACTTACTGTCTTGACATGGAGCAGTCTAGTTGTGATACATCATATTCAAGGTGTTACTTTCTTTTTGGCTTTATTGCTTGGAGATCTGCCTGACATGATCTAGCAATGGAGCATGTGATTTTTTTATTTTTTTTTCTCATTGCTGAAACGAGCTCTGACTCTCTGTTATTAAAGAGGCAATCTGAAAAGGCATGGAAGTCATCACTCAGCAGACCAAATTTTGGTTTTTAATCTTGTCGTTTTCTGTTAGTAATAACCTTCTGGCTCAGCTTTTCTATACTGTGAGGGAAGGTGGTGCACGAGAGCCGTTGTGAAACCTGTAGTGGCAGTTCTGTATGATCTGGGCTGTTGCGTTTTCTCTGTACAATCTTTTCACCCATGCTCAGTGACTTTAACTGTGTCTGCTTTCTGTTTTTTATATTTTTCCCGAATCAGTCTTTTAATCTGCTTAATCACATTAAAATCATCTCTATATTAGCTTTTAAGCACTTAAATGCTAAAAGTCTGTTAAGCACAGAGGGAAATCCTGCCATCTGCTGCAGTCTAAAATAGTTTGGATGAAGAAAGAAACTTTATTTGTCATAAATCATTGTTACATAAATTATTCATGTGTTTGTATTGCGTAAGTTGGACTCTCTTTTCTGCTGTGTAGGCTTTACATAAGGGACAGAGTGTAATTTCAGTCTCTGCTCTTCAGGTGCCCATATACGAGCTGCAGAATGACGGCCGAGCCAACCTTCTGGGGGCACTGCTATTCGCCGGGCAGTTTGTGATTCCTGAGGTCTGTTTGCCTGTGGAGGCTGTCTCAGAAGCTGCCTTTCTCCCTCTAGCCAGGACGTATGCTTACGTACTCGAAACATCCGGTAGGCAGTAAGGAATTGCACTTAAACAGGAAGATAAATGGATTCCACTGAGGTAACACACTTACATGGCGAAGCACCTGCTGTTTTCTCACAGCTCATATTCAATTTTGCTCATATATAATCTATAAAGACTCAAGTCTGAAATGTGTCTTGCAGCAGACTTGTAATCAGACATTTCCTTGCAAATATGTGGAATCTGAAACACCTTAATCTAGTTTTTTTAACAGAAAATTACTTGGAAATTCTAAATTTTCTCTAGAACTGGTACAAGTGTCTTATGGCTCTAGTCCCTGAAGATTGAAGTGTTGAGGATGACATACCTAGTGGACATGGAAGTAACTCCATGGTCTCTGCACTCTGTCTTTAAAGATGGTTGGTGCTGTTCAGCCCAAAAATCAAAGAGAAAACTGGTCACGTTACACCTCATTTCACTTCTGCCATGCTCCCAAAGCTAGTTCTTGTAAGACAACAGCAGTAGCTGACGGGCCAAGATCTTCATAGCTAATAGCAACTTTGGGGTGTCTCTTTTCCTTCAAATTTCAAATCAGAAACTTTAAGGGACTTGAGAAAGAACTTAATTATTTGTGCATGGCAACTCTTGAAAGTTATCCTCATTTCACCAGGCCCTTTGTTAAGGTTTTGAACTCTAAATTTAGATACAACTGATGAACTTTTTAATAAGTCCACACTTTTTCTTTCCTCTATCTCTGAAGTGGACTCAGGCAAATTTGCTGTCTCCTAGACTATGCCTCATGAGAGAATTACGAAACTAGTTAGCTCTTAACTTGTTTTGTTCTGAAATTCTTAAACCAATGTGACAGATGTGCCAACTCTTTTTGAAAGGGTAAGAGTTGTAAACATCTACTAGCCTCTGAGTTGCTTTAAAGGTTTAGAAAACACTTTATAAAGGACGGACTACAGTATTTATCTACTGAATCTTTTAATTACTGGCTTATTCATAGACCTGTTTCTTTACTTGTCTTGCAGGTGTGCCTGTATTTTTATAATAAACTGTACAGGGGAAATAGGGTGACTAAAGTGGATGCTGGGAGTTTCAATGCCTTTTCCTCACCTAACCTGCCTCCACTTGCAAATGCTGAGGTTGATATTACAAGTAAGCAACATCATCTCTTAAGCCTTGTAATTTATGCCACATGCAATAGAACTCTAGCTGAAAATAATCTGTACCTTTGTAGCTGAAATGCTGTTTTTAAACTCAAATATTTTTGGAAGCCCTGTAGCTTGATTGTACTATATCTGCCCTAAAACTATTTAAATATTAGTAAGACTGAGAATTTGTGATTCAACTGCATTTATCTATTGAGTATAGATGTGAGCTAGACTGACTTTGACTAAAGATCCAGACTAACCAGAGGGAATGTTGCCCCTGTGTCATGAAAATGCTTGCTCTGAAGATAAAAATGAAGGAGTGAGGACTGAAAGAACAAAGAGTTTAATCTTGTTAATGACCATGCTGGGTTCTGAAATCACGCAAAAGAGTCATTCCAGAGTACTTGCAGCTTCAACAGATTCTCTGCTTGATGCATGTCATTGTGTAAGATTTTTAACTGGATGTTTTGGACCTGTCTAAACTGCAAGCACACTGAAAACAGCAGAATATATGCTGTGTGAATTTTTTTTTTTCCCTCAGACTTAACTCAGGCTCCCTATAATTCCTGCCTGTTTGTTTTTTAAGGAGCAGAAACACTACAGGAAGATTTCAGTACCCATTTGCAAAGTCATTAACACATTGGTGTCTCTTCTTAGATAAATGGCACCCTTTCTTTGGAGAGGGGAGAAAAGACACACATTTGGAATCTAGCCAGCTGAGGAGCTGCCAAACAACATACTGGAGGACAGTTTAAAAAAATATAACAAGTTATACAAGCTACTTTTGGGCAGGCTAAGTCTATTAAAAAAGGCGTAGGACTTGGTGACAGTCTCCTTTATTACAAAAAAAAATAGGAATAGGAGGGGGTTCCCAGATTCTTTCACTAGGTGCCACTAATGGCAGTAGATCTAGCCCTGTGCCATGCAGTGTGCCATTCTGAGTGTTTTCTACTACTAAAGAGACACCTTCTGCAGTTCGGAAAAATAAACTTAGCCCTTCCACCTATGAGTGGGAGTTCCTTAACAAAGTTTCAGGATCAAAGTGCTGTGTTTGTAGCTGCCAGCTTCCAATGAGGAAGCCTGTGGAATACTGTAGTGGTCTGTAAAACATTTCTGCAGTAGAGTCTGCCACTGTTGTGTTACTGTGCTGCATCAAATACGGCGCATCTGAAATCAGCAGAAGTGCTGTCAGTTGCGGTAAATTGGGGAGAATCTTCTGTCTTCGGTAGAAATAAATTCTGTTTACTGACTGATCAATAATGAAATCAAGCTGCAAATTGCATGCTATTTCTCTTCTGGATTTGAATGAACAGTTTTGTGATTCCTTGTCTATCAAAGAAAAATGAGAAAGTTATTAAGTACTTCCTTTGGCCCATACTGAGTCCCATTATCTTTTCAGTAGAATGCCCCATTGAGATCAGTGGGGATTTCTGACCTAAAAACTAATGATGTGATAAGCTCTATTTTTATTTGTTTCTGTTGATTACCCAGTTAGAGGAGCACCATTTATCCAAGATGACAGTGTTAGTATTGAAGGATTGTTTCATCTTGAAAAAATCATTTTATAGTATAGGCAATCTAATAGTGCTGCTTTATTTTGTCCTAAGTAATTGTTTGCAACATTGCTGTCTCACTTGAGTTTTCTTGTACAATCCTCCTAGAAGCTTTCCCAGAGACAAGGAATGACTTAGGCTTTTAAAAACAAACCAGACAAATCGAATAGCTTTTAACATTTGTTTTGTTTTGTTTTTCAAAGGACTTTGTATAGTATCTCTTAATCCTTCTATACAGGGCTGACTGTAGACAGGGCTGACTTGCTGCTTCAGCATTATGGAGAGCAGCCTAAGGATGCCAGGAGGAGCAGACCATGCAGAGAAACTCTTCCTCAGGCTTCCTGGTTCTAACCAAGCTGGGAATGAAAATTCCAGAGAAGCAGAGTGGGAGAGGTGACAGGTTGAAAGGAGTGGGAAGTGTAATGGGATCAGAGGTTGATGCACAGGAATGAGGAAGAGGACATACTGTTCAAGGCTAGGTGTGGGGTTATCTAGTAGACAAGGCCTGGGAAAGGCTCGGTCTGCAGTATGAGAAAAGAACAAGTTAAAACAAAGAGACCATGCAGCTATCTGTAGGAGAAACTCACTGTTAAGAAACAGAGTCTGCAAGTAGACAAAATAGCTGCCAAGAGTGGTGTTGACTGAGGTGTGGCAGTGTAACAGCACGTGGTCCTTTGCTGGGAGGCTCTGTCGGCGTGCTTTTTGCTGGGGGTCTCTGTCAGCGTGCTCTTTGCTGGGGGGCTCTAGGTCGGCACGCTGGCAATCTGAGCAGGATGAATGTGTGTGTGTGCTGCTTAACACACGATCCACTTGCTTCACCTAAGGGTTCGCATGCTCTGCCCTGCTGTCTGTGGGTCCGTGCCCTCATACCCCACAGCTAGGCATACCATAAAAGCAATGATCTACTTCAGAGCCAGAGAGGAGAGGGAGAAGCTTAGTCCTTTTCCCTTCCCTACCCTAGCTGCAGCTCTCTTCCTTATTTTTTATATATATATTTTTACTTTGTTCCCTCTTCAGGTGAGGCTCCCGGTGAATTTCTCCTCCCATCAACTGTCTGTGCTCTCAGCCAGATCCTTAACTGTGTTAGCAACACACCTAAGAGCCCCGTTAGCCAGTTTTAGATGAGCAAGTGTGTTAGCCTCCTCAAGACTTTCAATTTAGCACAAGAAACTCCTGTAAGAAGTGAAAAATTCTAGCCCAAATTCTACTCCTGAGATGAGTAAAAAACCCAGTGCTGATGGGAAATAATTTTGCAGCCGAAATCTCTGTATGAAATGGACAATATAAAAGTAACCAGAAGTATTTCTAAACCTGAAAGCTTGTCAGATAAAAGACCATGCCTTATTTTCCCCACATTTTGAAAACAGGAGAGAAGAGCAGGACTGTTTCTTTCGACATGTGTAATGAGTCTCGGTATATTTCATAATTGATTACTCTTCTCTGTTCTTGATTGTCCTAATGAAGCAAATGTGAAACTTGCTTTGTTACCATGGCTGGACTTTTTTCATCATGCATGCATGTAACTTCTGGGAGTGGTGCACACATACAGGACCATAGGATGAGGAATGTTATTTGTGTAGGCCATGAACAGAGTCTGTGTGACTGCATGCAGACGTGGTGCAGCAGCAGAAGGTTAGAAGGCCCTTTTGGGCTCATTTACACACCAGTCTCAACAGAGAGAAGCTATTTGTCATAGGCCAAGTCTGTGTCTTGGTTGGCAGCTCTGGTTATTTATAGTAAAAAGCCCAAGTCATCTATGTATTAAGGCAGATGCCAGCTCTCTTCACTGCAGTGCTTTCCGTCCCCCCGCCCCTTGTAGGTAGACGTGTTGATTCTTGCAATGACACCATTCAATTTAAATATTATTTTATTATTATATTGTTGTTTTATAGCAAACTCCTAAAAAAGGGGTCTATATTTGTTGGCATTCAGGAATTTGCACCCATAGGTTGGCATGTGCTGCCCACCCCTTGACTGCCACTGTGAATTACAGTGAGCGCCAGGGCAGCTTATATAATGGCAGGGCTCACCTGTAGCCTTGCAGGGAAGGATGAGAAGAAAGTGTTGCTGTTTGTCTGGAGCTCTGCAGTCACGAAAAGCTGTATTTCTTGTTTGATTTCATAACTTGGAGTTCAGTCACCACTCCTAAGGGAGGTGTCACTGTTAGTTGCTGCTCTCCCATTATTAGTTGAAACATGCATTGTGGCCTAGGTACTGTTTAACAACAGGGGGGTTTTGCTGCTTTCTAGAGTCTGTAGAGCTCCTTCTCTTTTTTATTTTTAAGTCAGGTTGATGTTTTTTCTGCACTAAGCGCATCACCATAGTTCTCTGTATGTGTGAGAATAAGGCTCAATAGGATTTTTTGAGCCATAATTGTAAACGCTGTAGAGATTGGAAATAGCAGAACATTGTTTATGTGATGGTTTTGTTTGGAAGAGTAAACAAAATGCCTTTATCTTGAATGCAGTCTCCTTGAATAATGCAACCTTTATATAAATAACCATTACCATTTTATTTTATGTACGTTGCTTTAAAAACTTTCTTTCTTGTGTGCAACACTAGTAGCTAGCTTATGGTTTTTTTCCCTGCTTTGTATCCATATTTACATAATGCAGTACACGGTATCAGTTAAACTTTTTACAAGCATAGGCCATCCAAGTCAGAACAGGTTACTGTTTTCTGTGTTGTGCCAAAACTGAATATCCCTAAATTAGTCACTTTTATCCATAGGATAAACTGTTATGAACACTGATATATATATACAGCTTTTTGGACTTCACCTGCTTGTATAGGAGTTTCTTAAGAACATTTAGTGATTCCTAAGATCTTTTGGGTTTAATTTTTTAAAATTTATTTAACAAAAAGAAGATTGCTTTGTGAAGACGACTATAGGCTGTGAGACATCTGATTTATTCACTACAATGAAGATGCTTTGTTTAGCTAAGTAACATAAATATTCCTCCTTTTGGAGATGTAATCTTTGAGATGGAGGGTGCAAAGAGTATGTTCTACATGTCTTTTTCCCATGCATGGTGCTCTGCCCCACTTACAACAGTTCTGAATAAATCCAAGATGAAGTCAGGCTTTTGTGTATATTTGTCTTTGGCTCTTGCATCACACTTGCCTTTTTATTTCTGCCTTTTGGACTCGTTTATCTAATGGAAAACTGACATCTGTGGAGCCTGCAGTAGCCACATGTTATGTAGGCTGATGAGGTTCATGACCAGGAGAACGTTAACTCAGGGACAATCTTTTGTTCTTTTTTTAAATATAGTATGGAACTGCATCACTGTGCTATGTCTGCATGTATTCATTACATTTTATCTTGAAGATGATATGTTATTTGATGGAGTGTACTCCAAGTGTACAGGTATAGGCCTGGTGTAGGTCTGACATCTGAACCTATTCTCTGATCTCTCTCCTTGGTCTTCTACTTTTGGCAGTACCTTAGTGATTCATGCCAAGGAAGGTTTCCTCAGTTCATTCCTCAAGTTTATTACAAGCATTGGGGATGCTAACAGTTGCCAAACTTACTAGTATGCATTTGTGAAGTTTTGGCATGGACTTCTAGCATATGTAGGATAAAGGAAAGAAAGCTCTGATACAATTTTATTGCCATCCCTTCATATAGAAGAGGTTGCTTTTAAATAATTAATCTGTATGTTAGGAGGTTTATTGCTAAACACTGCCCTTTCTTAAGGCACAGTGCTCATGAATGAATATGATTAGCCAGGCCTATGAACCTCAACCAGAACAAATGCATGGCTTTCTGCACTCACCCATTTGCCACCAGGTTCTCTCACTTGCTCTGGAAAGCTCACGGAGGCCTTTGAGAGCTAGCTGGCTAACTACTAAATCCAACCAGGAGGTTTCAGAACTGTCCTGGCCAGCTTAGCACAAAGAAAGAACCTGTAGAAATGGTCTGTATTTCTGTTCTCTGATTCCCAGGGCATTAGGAATCCTTGTGCTGAAGTGTGGCTGGCTGAACAAATGTGGTGCCAAGCCCAACTGCTTGTGACCTGTTTAACGACGTGTGGTATTTTTTCAGCCAGAACACACAGAGGCTCTAGTTGCTGACAGGGCACCACGGCAGGAAGGGACAGTTCATAAAGTCTTATAGGTAACTTCTATTTCTGTCCTGACTTAATGGGTTGTATAGGTTTTAGTATCTCTGGTAATGTGGCAGTAGAGTAGCTTCAATGGAGGCTTTTAAACGTACTCTGATTTTTTTTTTTTTTCCCAAATGGCTGGCTGCTGATTGCAAGAGATTGCAACAGTAATTGGTGTGAGTAACTCTCCGCATGGCTGAGAGCAAGTCAGTATTATGCACGCAGATCTTTTATCTGTCTTGCTGCTTGGGAGTTTCTCCAAAATCTGAAAAGCTTAAATCATGATGGGGAAACGGGTAGCTTTACAGCATGGTGTACTTTCATTGAAGCATGATGCTCTGAGCTGCTGGCTGCTCTTTGTTAAATGTCTTCCACTGCCCTGTAGGAGCCGTCAGTGCGACCAACACTGCCCTACTACACTGAAGTAGTAAAATTTTGAAATCAATAATGCATGACTTGGCTTCTAATAATGCAACACAAACAAACTATTAGTTAAACAGCTGGCTTTTGGCTCGAAATGTATAATCAGAGTTAATTGAATCCTTGCTATTTTATTTAGTCGTTAGTAACTACCTAATAAACTCTGGAGGTGATTAGCAGCTACAGAAACTGCATTTGTCATCTCTTATGTCTGAGAAGATGAAGGTCTGTTTTCTAAACATGACTCCAGGCTGGTATCAGGCCAGCTGCAAAACAATGAAGTTCAGGTCAGCGCGTGACAGGGGAACATCTCACCTGTGCTAGACCTGCATGATGCTCTGTTGGTTGAGGCTTTCTGAGCACTCCAAACTGGGAGAGTTGGCACTGACAGGACAGGTTCAACACTGTGAACCTGTCATGTCTAGTACTCTGTTGCTTTTCACAGCTATCAGACTAATCTTTTGCAGAGGTTGTAGTAGAGGTATACAGCTTTATGTCTGATAGATCATCCTGTTCATTAATGCTTATTGAACTAAAATAATAAGTTTGGAAGTCTTCACTATAAAATGCTATTAAATTGAACAAAGCATACATGTTAAGTATCTCCTTGAAGGACACAAACGTAGAAATACTGATGAGTAATACTAATATATCTCAAAATCTAGACTATTTTGGAATTAAAGCTAAAATGTAACACAGTAGAGCCTGACCTGGATGTGGCCTTGAAGGCATATTTTGTGGCATCTAATACATAAGGTGTAAATGAGATCAGCTGCTATGGCTGCTGTCTAAATGGGCCTTCATTTCCTCTTTTCAAAAATACATTATCTCCTACATAAGAAACAGTTTAAAAGACAGTGTTCTGCGTATGAAGTACTATACAGATACTTAATATTATGTCTTAATACTGGATTTAAAAGGCCATTTCTCTTAACAGTAAACTGGGAAACAGTGTGGAGAGCCAATACCAAGAAGAAATTCCGCGTTCACACCAATATGAACAGGAACGTTGGGCTTCTGCGGATCTTCCCAGGAATCACTGCTGCTGCTGTAAGTGCCACCACTTCAGTTTGGAAGTGGGTGAAGTGATTCTCAAATACTTGATTAGTCAGCTGAAGTAAGGAAGCTGCATTTTTTGTAGCAGTGGTTGGGGTGTTGGAGGGGAGGGAAAGGATCTGTCTTCTTTTGATAAATGTTTTCTGGAATATTGGAGCATTCAATATTTTCATATGCCATGAACTATTGATAAAGTACTTTCAAATATCTTTTGTCTAAAACCACCTAGGCACTGAAACTTAAAATTAATTTCTTCTCAGGGCTCTTATCTAGGTCGAGTGTGCTTTTCTAGAGAGGTGCAGGCTACAGTGACCATAGAAATACTCTCTTGCTTCATATTGAGGCATATTAATAGATATCTTGTCAAAAAATAAACAGTATGGTGGGTGGATGGGAGTGTGACTATTTCTACAACTCATGCTTCTTTTTTAAGATTCATTTTGTATTACACTGATGGTGAACATGACCTTCAGCAGTCATACAGAGCTGAAGATAAGAAGTGGCTTTTTTTTTTTCCTTTAGAAATTATTTTGCAGAACTGTGGGTTTAGGTATATTTTTCTTTTAATTATTGTCTAATCATTCCATTAAATTGACAGGTCTTTTGTGGCTGTTGCCATCTTAAATTGAATCAAGTAGTTTAAGCAGCGCTCCTCAATAATTACATTTCCATTCTTTTTAGGTGAATATGAACAGATGGAAAGGCAGAGGGGTGGTATATTTGCAATAAAACTCCGACTGCATAGTTAGCCTCATGGGGGCTTACAGTGTATTCCATTTAGCATATGTGATCAGCAAGGAAACATCGAGGTTGTTTAAAATACATTTTTCTAAGAGGAGGACTGTGGTAGGCATTCACTTACAGTGAGGCACAGTAGCTACTTCATTAACAACTGGCCCAGAATGTATTAGTGCCTCATTTTTTCCTGCCTTGAGTGAAATCAATGGGGTTTTGAGTTAAACTCCAGGCTTCATTAGAATGTTCTTTCCTGAAAGGTGAGACTCTTTCTCTTATGCAGACATTTGTTAACAAAACTCTTCACTAAAGTAACAAGGGTGGTCAAGGTGGGGTTTCTAATCTGAATTAATAATCCTACATTTATTTAATAACTGTAAATATAAGTTTTTGTTCTGCCATGGTGCAACAATGTAGCCTGTTAATGGCACTTAACAATAGCATCCTTTTCCACAATGACATCATGACTGTAGAAAATAGTTTATTTTAAAATTTATCCCTCTAGGAATTTTTAAAGGAAGCTAGAGAGTCAAATTCTCATTTTTTAAAAAAGCTTATTCTACAGTCCCAGTTATTGCAAATGTTGAACATGGAAGAGCATGAGAGCCTGTAAGACTATAACAGGAACAGATCATTTTTAAGAACTCTGTGCCATACATGAAAATCTTAATCTGATTTATATACATTTTATCTCTCTTCCCTGTCTTGTTTTTAAACAGGTAAGAGCATTTCTTCAGCCTCCAATTGAGGGCATTGTACTTGAAACTTATGGAAGTGGCAATGCCCCAAACAAAAGAGAAGACTTGCTGGAAGAGCTGAAGAAAGCAGCTGAACGAAAAGTCGTGATTCTAAACTGTACCCAGTGCTTACGAGGGTCTGTTAAAACAGTCTATGCAACAGGGCAGGTAGGAGTTGTGCAAGGATTTCAGACTCTACTGCTGTGTAAAAGAAACATCCCACTGATACAACATGATTGTATACTTCTAGTAGTCCCAGTGTATAAAACCAGATTGATTAACTGTAAAGATAAAATAACTATATCTGAAAAACCTTAAGCTGAAGGCATTTAAATGCGTAGCTGCAAACAAGATCCTGTTACTCTTAGTCTGAATGGCGAAAACAGTCAGCTCACATCCCAGATCAGTGAGAACAGTATGTAAGGAAGTGTCTGTTGTGCAAAATGGAAATTGTTTGTGATTAATCCATGAATTCTAGCTTAAAGCACGCTTTGTGTAGATATTGTTGATATTCGGGGGATTTTATACTGAATTTCTTAATTGTGTATTAAGATGTGACATCACTGAGACTAATGAGAACTCAAAGCCATATAAAAGTATGTGTTGTGTGTAGTAGTGTGAAGGAAGCTGTCATAATAGACCTTTATAAAAAGGCCTGCCATTAAATAGCCAAGGAGCACTGCCAGAGGGTGACTCATCCCCCTCTTTTAGACACCTGAGTTTGTTGGGAGCAACCACCCGTCTGGCAGAGCTGCCCTCTTCATTGACTGTGGGGCAAACCTAGATACTCCAGCCTGGTACTGAAACCTGCCTCTTTTAAGATTGGTTTTGACACAGCTTTTGATTATATTTACTTCAAGAACACATAGTCTGTTTTGAGGAGAAAGAAAAGGAGATTGCAAGAGTTTCTTTCCACTCTTCAGTATCCAGACTTGGTATTTTCTGATATGGGCAGTCATTTGGGTCTTTAGTAAAACTTCTGCATAAATTAATGGAGGTGTTTTGAGAGTTATTAACTTTTGCAAAGAACCCCTGTTCTGTAGCAAATATGATAGGAATACATGGATTATATAGAACAGTTCACATGGAAGGAAGGAAGCAGTTAAGTCAATAAAAGACACCAAACATTTGAAAAACAACATGAAGATGGAGCCTAGCTTTTATATGATCATTTGCTCAAAATGAAATGCTAGAATGTATGGAAGGAAAAAAAAAATGCTTTCTATTCTCTAGTTAAAAGTTTCTCCAAGCAGACACCTCTAAAATGTCTTTTTGCACTCTGATCCAGACTGTTGATATGCTGAACTGAAAAATGCTACTCAGGTCTTACTGGACCACTGTAAGGCTGTGTGAAAATGCATTCACTTCAGGCTTCTACTTTTTATATGGAGCATCTGTTATGTTGCTTCAGCATCCATTGATGGAGGCTGCCTTGTTTTCTTGGCTTCTTTTGAGGATAACACGGAGAGAGCCAAGTCCTATGAAATTACTTCATGCTTGTTCTTTCATTGTCTTCTTTTTATAAAGAACTGCTCAAAGGAGAAAGTATCGTGGGTAAAAGCTGGAAAGTTGCTCTAATGTTCACTTTACTTTGTTTTTTCTTCAAGCAAAATCTTTCACAGGTCTTTTTGTATGGCTAGGCCACTTTTTACTCACTCAAGGTGGGCAGGTGGGTCAGCTGAAGTCCCTAGTTTCTCCCTTGAAGTGTTTGTTTTAATTAACTGAATGTCTGACCCCTGATCCATCTGCACAGTAGAAACTTACAATTGAGGGGACTTCAGGTGTAGGAAAGGAGCTGGGAAATCCCTTCCTCCTCTTTCTCAAGCCTGAAGAAAAAGACTTAACTGTTCTTTGGCTAGCTGTGCATTACAGAAAGTATTTTTCACCTTCTCTGTATGTGTTTTCTCATGGGACTTTTAAAGTGTTAGTCTGGGTCTCTCAGAGGTGGTTAATGAGCTGATTAAGGCTCTGAATCTTGCTAAAACTATTAGTTAAGCTACAACAAGTTTCAAAGCTGAAGTTTATATACAAGCTACTTAAAAACTAAATGCAATGTAAAGAACCTACTGCAAGATGCTTAACTGAGAGGCACCGCAGTATGGCAAAGATGACAATCTGTGGGTTAGAGAAGCCCAAGTGTTTGCCCAGGTACAATTCATTGTCAAGAGATCTCAAATCTCCTTTGTCTGTGCTGTCTTGCTCACTGTATACTTACAGGGCTTGTTCACCATAGCAATCATCTTTTTCCTTTGCTTCAGGTAGTTTGTTTTTTTTTTTTAACTACCAGAAAGAGAAGTTAAAAAGGTCATCTTTTTTCAGTGGTTCTTGCCAGAACTGTGTAAATTACATTTATTGGTTCTGTGTTCTAAATTATACACTGCTGGTGTAGCCTGAAAGGATCTGAAAACACTCCTGCTGTGAGCACACTGTAGCACTGGATTTCATCCAAAGCAATGTCCCATAAAAGAATGGTAAATATGTCTGTGTGAGAACAGCCTACTTGGCAATGTTCAAAATGCCACTGGGTTAAAACACAGTAACTGCAGCTTTTCAATAAAGGGAATCTGACAACTCTGCAGATAGCTGATATGGACCTGTAACCTTTCCCTTTTAGCATAGTAAGTGACCGTGGCAAGCATTTGGGTGAATTCTTCAATGTTATGGCATGAAAAGGAATTTAAAGTAAAAGTCATCTTTATTCAGCTGGTTCTAGTATTTGCTTGGTATTTGATAACTAAAATTACAAAAACTACAGTGGCAGTAGGAGGAGCAAGAGAGTGGAGGCACAGCTGCGTACAGTATCCTGTGTAGCTGCTCATCATTCATATACATTTTCTGTTCTTGCAGGTATTTCTGAATGCTTTGTTAATTGGAGTCATTATTCCTTTTTATTCAGACTCTCGCTGATGTTGGAGTAATTCCTGGAGGTGATATGACACCAGAGGCAGCCCTTACTAAATTGTCATACACGCTCAGCAAGAGTAAGCTTAGCTGGGAGGAGAAAAGGCAGGTAAATATTTCAGTGTGACCTTGAAAGGCTTTAACTTTCCCATCTACTGTGCTAAATCCTGCTTAACTGAATACCTGGCATTTTTCCCTTGCATTTAAAAGCCATTGGTTCCAGAGCCATAATGTGAACATCACATGATTTTTTTTTTTTTCCCTTAAGAAAAATACTGTTAGGAAAATAAATGTATGTAGATTGGGAGAGAAGAGAGTTCTCTGCATAAGTCAGGTAAAAACTGTGACTGAGCCATAAAAATGCCATCATTCAGTGGTAGTATTCTACCTTGAGCATTTCTCTACTGTGGAAATTCATATGGGAGACAGAATCCCAACCCTATTGAGGTCAGCAAAGATCTTGTCATTGATCTTAGTTAGTAAAGATTTCATCCAAGACTCATTAACACAAAGCTAATTCTGAAAATAAATATTGCCTCTTCCTGCACAGTGTTACTCATGACTGTTAGATTTTGTTTCTCTAAGAGGAAATATACTTTAGAAACGCATAAAAAGTAAAGGATTTTTCTAAGAACCATTTGTAACTGATAAAATCATTACCCCCTTAACAATGTTCTTAGTGCTCATTGGTGCTTAAGGTTTTTTTTCCTTAAATTGTGTAGTTATATATCATGTTGCTTTTATAGAAGGAACATACAGTTCTGAATAAGATGAGGGAGCAGCAGTCTGCAGGAATGCATGTGTTTCTGTGCTCATATGCAGTGAAATCATGATCCTGACACTTTGGGAGATGACATTGTGATGAGTCATGCTACAGACTTAAGCACTGCATGCACATGTGTATCTTATGATGGTGTTTTGTTTTTATTAAAAGTGAAACTAATTTGATCATTATTTCATGCTCAGTATTTTCCAACCAGCGGCAGCTCTTGAGACAAACATACCTGGATACCTGTGATCGTAAGTGGGGTGGCTGGAAGTACCACTTGCTGTACTTACAGTTTCAGAGGCTGAGCTTTCAGTTGTTTTCTAAAGCCCTGACTCTGAAAAATGAGAGGGGGTGGAGCTGCATTTCTTCAGTGAGGACGGCACGAGCATATTCTGTGCAAGAACGTGCTTGATAGTTGCCATAATGCTGTGTGAATAGTAGTGGTATTGCATGTACCTGTGTATATACGCTTTAGAAATCCAGGCTCTTCACTGATGGCCCTTTGGTCCACTCACTAACCCCAGAATGTACATATAGTAGCCTGTTTTTTTTAATACAGGCTAATTTTCATACACAGAGGATTATTTGACCTGAGACAGGAGAAGCTTGCCAAGCTTCCTGCCTAGATGTGTGAGTTAAAACTTAATTTGAGATCCAGTTTGCTGAAGTGAGATAGCTGACTTACTCAGGCAAGGACTTGGTGATAGGATGTTTTAGGTACCACTGGCACAAGTTACTTCTACATCTTCACGTGCTGCCCTTTGGAATGTGCTGCACAGTTTGTGTGGTGGTGCTGAGACCTCCTTTATATCGTTTGAAAAACAAAATAACTTCTGCAGTTTCTTTGGGTTAAGCAGGATCGGTTTCCTCATTTGACTCATTGTACAGACCTACAAACAATTGTGTTGGCACAATTAAGGGAGCAGCATGCTGCATTGCCTGGGCAGGAATGAGTGTTAGAGACCAGGAGAAGAAGAAAGCCTGGAAATATGTCATCTGTGGCAATATCTTCAGCTAAACATATCACCAAACAATAGTCTCCCAAGAGATGGAAGCTTTCCTGAAGCTGGCGTGGTTATTTTAGGATTCTCTTTCAACACGAGAAGCAAGGAATGTGCCCCCAGACACATGCAAATGGCTGCAGAGCTGGTAGGACTGAGTAGGGCACGTAGGGCTTTGCACAGGGTGCATTTAGTACAGGTGCCAATTGCTAAGGTTACCTGTGCAAAGCAATGATCTCAACCTGTCAGACTCCGAAAGTGCGCCAAGGCAGCAGGCAGCATCCCGGGTTACACGTAGATGGGACTCTTCCAGCAGACAGCTACCGTGTTGTCAGCGCTTGGAGTTTTTTTTTAATAAAGGGCATGCCTAGACATAAGTAAACCTGGGGCATTCCTCCTTCCAACATCACATCTGTTTCTTACAAACTTACACAATCCTGCTTTTTAAAATTCTAATTGAAGTAACTACATGCTTTATAGCTGCATCAGCAACCTTTTGTGAAAGAGTGCCAGTATGTAAAATGTCAGAATGGAGGAAACTAGTTGTTTTTTCTTAATGACTGGCTTTTCTCTCTGTTCTACAGGTTTCCCAGAACCTGTCTTTTGGAGTATTTTCATTTCTTTATTGCCATATTCAAGCACTTTCTACACATTAATTGGCTGACCTGCTTTTGGTTTAGTTTTGTTTTGTTTTGGTTCGGGTTTTTTTATTCCTGAATATATTGAATGAAAACTTACACACCTGCTTTCATAGTGACTGACTAGTACTACTGTAGACCTGCATTCAGAGCTGGCTCTACAGCCAAATTTTAACAATTTTAACACCATCAGGGCTAAAGGAGCTGTTTGGAAATCCCTTGAAATACATGACTGTCTACAGGCCGCACTAGGCTTTGTGTTGAGGCCTACCTAGAGTCTGCGTAGGAGTACTCCTCAGTACTCCTTGGGAATGCTGGCAAAAAGCATTTCAGAATATTCTGGTTTTCAGCCTCACTCTGCTAATTACTTACCATCTTTGTGTTTTTAAGTAGGCTGCAGTTTACCCCACTAGGGAACTTTTGTCTGCATACTCTGAAAATTGGGGTGCTTTGTTATGTGCTTATTTTGGTTTCTTTGCTTTGGAAGAAAATTTTATTTGCCTGTCCCCTTTCGCTCCCCCAGCCTTTGTCTTTTTAAATTTACAGTCTTCATGGGACAGTAACTATTTCTTTAATCTTTTGTCTGCGTTCAATTAGTTTCCATAATTCCTCCAAACAATTTTCTAACTTGATCCTAAGTTTTTTTTATCAGGCTGCTACCATATTTTTCCTCTGCTAACAAAGGATTTGATTGCCTGCTTTTCAGATGCTGAGTGAGAATCTAAGAGGAGAAATGACTGTTGTACCCACAGGAGCCAAGATCTCTCTGAGAGATAGCAAGTTTATTCAAGTGATTGCCAAATCTCTTAGTATCAGCAGCAAGGAGGTATATACTTAAATATTTAAAATTGAACTTATGTAAAGCTGTAAACCCAATTAAATGAACTTAGCTTAAAGATGAACAGCAAAGCTGAAACAAAAATGGAACACTGGAACTTTTATCTTGTTTTCTTAGTACTGAATGTCCCAGCTAGCCCAGCTAGGGTTAGGGAGGAAGGACACAATGACAAGCATAACACTAAAATGTTTTTAATTAAAAACTTATTAACTTTTTTTCCCCCTCTTTGTAGCCCCATCTTGAGTATTTTCTTGGCTGTCTGGTTACAATAACAAGCCTCAGACAGTTGCTGTAATTCAGGATATCAATGATATGAGAAAGTGCTTTGTATTTTTGTGGTCAAACATATTGACAGTTTGGAGCAATTCAAATAATAATGTGTAAAACAGCCCAATTGTACATTCAGTCCTAGAAGGCTGATACTAAGGAAGCGCTATACAAGTGTAATTTGTGGTGTTTAGTCCTTTCCAAATGGAAAATCAGAAAATATAGTATTGGTTGTAAGATAAGAGTATTTGCTTTTCTCTTGGCTTAGTTTCAGGGCAGATGAGATTTTTAGTATCTAAGGAATCCTGAATGTAAGGTTCTTCAGTAAGTGTGAGAAGTGGGAGGGTATTTAGGGGGCAGTGGAGGTTTGGAAGTACAGGTTACACAAATGTCTGAGGAATCACATGAATAAAGTTGATCCTGTCTTGAGGAGACTGGACTCTGTGGTCCTTTCCACCTACTGCCAGTACTGTTTCTCTTACTGTACTGATGTGTAACTATAGCAGCACAGAGATGGCAATTAGTGTGTACACCTTAAATGGTATATATAGGTATCAGATACTTGGAGTGTTGCCAGGGAGGAATATAATCTTATGGATGTAAGACTGACAGAATGTAAAATGAGACTTCTTTCCTTCCAAGAACTAAATACTACCATTTTTAAATATCCAAATGACTAAATTGGAAACTTTACATGAAAGCAAGAGGAATGTTTTTAGGACTCGGACATCAATCACCTTAGAGGCAAGGCTGATATTAAACTTTTAATTTTATTTGTTTCTCAGGAGTTAGAAGCTGTAAGAGATGCATTAATTCCACCTTTGGCTTGTGCTGCAGCTAAACTGGGTGACATAGATGCATTAAGAGCCATAGCAGAAATGGTAATGTAAAATTAACAGTTTGTATAAAACATTTTTTAAATAGCATTGCAAATGACAGGAGGAAGCTATGCTCACTGGGAAGCAACTGCCTAAGTCTTGGAATCAAGGTGCTTTGACTAATACAGTTGGTTTCTAGGCTCCTCAGTCTTTGCCTTTCAAAACTGGTATGTTCTTTTACCTATCTGGTTCTGAACTGCTTACATTTTCTTTTGAACTGTTAAAATACAGGTAAATTAAAATGCAAGTTCTTATCTGCTAACTTTGGAATACTTTAAAATGGATTGTGTTGCTTTCTTTCACGTAACTTTCTTTATGCATATTCATAGCATCCAGCTTTTGGATGTAAATCCATTATGATTAAAAAAAAAAGAACTTTAAAATTATATTTAAGCAAAACACAGTGCAGTGCTAATTCAGGATTTTTGGCTCTCCTCATAGCTCTATTCTGGGTTTTACCTGAAAAAAGAAACAGGCACTTCCCTGTAACATCTTCTACACCTCTTTTTTTTTTTTTTTTTTTTTTCTCTTTGCCTTGGTTTACCCTACTCTTGGGATTTTGCTAATGGGCTTTGAGAAAGCATAAATATATCTTGCAAATAACAATAAACTAAGACAGGTAAAATGAGCAGACTATAGGCACAAAGCTGCCGTATGGCATACTGCAATAAAGAGCATCTCTGAAGAGGCTGTAATGAGAATATGAATAGAGAGGGGAAGATGCAGAAGGTGGAATAAATATATTTTCTAATGATAAAACAATGCTACAAGATGAACTTTAAGTTTGACATGCGTAATATTTTGGTGGCAAAATTAAAATGTGGTGTATGCATCTGCTGTTGCGCCAACAACTTAACGTGAAGCAATTATCTTTTTAGCATGCGAAGGGTCTGTCCTTTTGTAGGGTGGAAATTTGAGCTGTGGAGACTATGATGGCCGAACTCCACTTCATATTGCAGCCTCTGAAGGGCATTTACCATTAGTTGAGTATTTGTTGACATCTGGTGCGACTATTTATGCTAGAGACAGATACGGATCTACCCCACTGATGAACGCAATCAAGTTCAGGTAACAAAATGATTTATACACTACTCTATGTAAAGTTTATAAACCTTATATCGTTTTGGATTTAAGGTCCATCCCTGTGTTTTGGTTCTTGTTTTGTCTCAGTAGTCATGTGTAAATGACAGCAGTTAAAATAACACAAACCAGCTTCATTTCAAAGGATGTGACTAGCCTAAATTAAAAGATATTTTTTAAATAATATGAAATAAAAGCAAAGAAGTTGGTATGCATGCAGAATTTTAGCATAAGGTAATTTGTTGCTGCCTTCCTGCCAAGACTTTGTCCCTAATTTCAGGGCTCCACTCTTTGTTAGGAGGCTTCCTTAGAAAACAGAGCCAAACTGATCACCCCTTTTGACTGTCAGAAGTGAGAGTGCAGAACCAAGGGCTATTTCTTTCTGCCCTCCCCTTTCTCATCAAGACCAGACTGTTTCAATTGGCTCAAAATATACCGGTAGGTTGACATGTTTTAAACTTTCCCTTCCACCAGTGCTTTCCTGAGTCTCTTGCTGGATGACTGTTTTTTTTGATTTTTCCCTTCCACCCACTCATAATTATATGGGATGGCTGCATGGCTCTGCCTGCTTTGTGGATTTCCTCTTCTTGTTGTTCTGAATGTCAGCAGTTCTTGAATGGTGGTCATGGACATGCAGTTTACTGGTCTTTTCCATGTTGTATAGTTCTAAGGAACAGCCATAGCACACAATGTAAAAGTTATCAGTTATCAAAATTTAATTTTAAAACACTTGGTTTATATAGCCTGGGGATTCATAGAGCCATTGGTCTTCTAACGTGTTAGCAGCTGCATGCCCTAATCTCTTCTAGTTTCTTTGATCCACTTTCAGCTCCTTATCTCATATTCAGCCTGCATGATGGCAGGAGAGAAGGTTTTTCTGTAAAGGAGCTTGCAGTGATACAGTTTTGGTGGCTGGCTGTCCCTAGATATTCCTAGAGCTTTCTCATTTTGTCAAGTTTACCTGGTCTGTCAGGCTGAGTTAGCTCCTTGGAAGGTCTGACCATACTGGTTTTGCATTGGCTGGAGGAATAACTTGAAGGCTTTTTCTGTCTGAAAGACCAGACATAGAAGAGTCAACAGGCTCTATTAACTTGAGACTTGAAGTCCTGTGTGGCCACACTGTGCTATTGCCTTACCTATGGCTTTGTAGTCAATGCTTTATCTCGGGAATATATATAATCCCTTCAGTGGCAAACCCTTAAAGTCTTAAAGCAAAAACAAGCCCAACAGCAAATCAAACAAATAACCTCACGGTTGAGTAGAGATGGCTCTGGTCCAATGTGAGAAAATGCTAAAGCATTAGATACCATTAGATGTTCCTGCAAATCAGGCACCTACTTTTTTTTACCGCACCCATCTACCGCCTGAGGAATTTCACATGGGCTTGTTGTTTGGATTCCTCGGCATTGCCACTCCTATATTAGACTCCTACTATGACTCTTAAGCTCTTTAAAACTGCACACCCATTTTGATACAGGGAATTGTAAAAGGAAACTGCACTATAACCATTTTCAGTTTCTCTTTTTGTTTCTACTGTTGGAATGAGAGGAAGTGTTGACTTAGAACTAATCTCATAAATGTGTATTTATGATCTGCTGTGTTCTTACACTGCATTTCACACTAAGGACCATATAAAGGAGAATGCTAAACATCAGACAGCTGTATGTGTGCATAATTAGATACCCACTCAGAAGATTTCTGCTACAGAAATATTTGAGTTCTATTTATTAAACAGCTGCGTGCTCAAAGTGGAGAAATTATCCTGATGCAGTGTACAAAGTGGCAGGGAGGGAAGGGAGAAGACTGATCTCAGTGAGCAGTCAATCTTTAAACTGTTTAATATTGTAACTTTCTCAATTTTACTGAATACTGCATCAGCTTAATCCCATTTTCTGAGAATTAGTATTTGTTTAATTGGCATTTAACTACAGTAATGTGTCCACTCATCTTAAAAATAGCTTTCTTCCAGTTTTTTATGTCACATTTCTCAGTGGCTGCCTTTTAACCTAGCACGAAAATGTATATAGTGATGACTGATTTCTCTCTTCCATTTAATAATTTGTAAAGATGATCAGGAGTTATGTCTCTTCTTAAAAGCTTCTTCTTAGCACTGTCAATTGGTAGACCAGCAACTTGATCTATATCGATGATAGTCTCTTAATTTTTTTTTACTTCAAGTGACTGTTTCTTTGTTTCTTTGGATAGTAAAACGTGGAGTTCCTTGCTAAGTAAGGAATAAACTACTGCATTTCCGCTTTTTCATTTGTAACTCTGCAATTTGCGTGTAGTCTTATTCACTTTATGCATGAAGCTAAACAGACCACTGTTAATTTAGGCCAGTTGCTTGACATATCAAAATTAGTAGCATTCCTTTAATTTCTTAGAGCACCCTCAAGGGATAATTAATTTTCAAAACAAAATAATAATTTTTTTTAATAACAAACTCTTCAAGCAGGAAAATGTCTTGAATAAAAATTGTGTATATTTTATATAGTAAAAGCACTTCCATTTACTTGTAGAGCAGTGGTAAAAGGTTGGAGATGGAGAGTTGCTCATACAGCGCTGTGAGAACATCAGATTAGAGGCAGTAAAATTACCTCCCACGTAAATGTGAATTTAAATACTTGATATTTTGCAAGGTTACATTTACATTACTTCAGGAAATCTAAGGCAGAGTGAAAATCTAACCACTACTGACTCCAGAAATGTACTGAAGCTTGTCTTTGCAGAGCTCGAGCACAAAATTCCCACTGATACCATGCAGAAAACCAAACAAGTGAAACTAAGCTGAGCCTGCCATATCCATTCCAGTTGCTAGGGGAGCAAGCAGTAAAAAGAATGAAGCCAGTCGAGTTTGGATATACATTACACCTGCATTTCTTTAAAGAGAGTTGGTGGAAGGTGTGCCCCCTAAGGCTCCAATCCTGCAACCTCTTACATACGTGTTAATTTCACATGTGTGACTCATCTCTTTTGAAGTTGATTCACTTTTAATAAGTGTCTGCCAAGACAAGGCCCAAGACGATACGTACTGTATGGCACCTTGGCTGCTGTGAATTCAGAGCCCCCGTGAACCAGTATGTGTTCTGATGCCTTTATCTGGAACTCAAACTGTGCTCATAGCAGTGAGCGTTGAAGACCACACTGAGTCATTTATATTGCTACTAATCCATTGAAACATTGCGTATTTTATCTCCAGTGTTATCACTAGTGGAGTCTAGCAGGGAGGAGACACTGGAAGCACCTTCTATCTCTTGTTTTTTCCTTCAGAGAGTGGTTGAATGACAGTGGTAGTATCAAAAGGCTAACTTAGGTAACATATGCAAAATAGCATTGTTTCTATAGCCTGTGTCTCACCAAGAGCCATGGTTTGGTAGCAGAGCACACTAAGGGAAAGTCAGAAACAGTTTGCAATAGCTCCTCATGGTTTTGCTCATGAGATGAGGCTAGCCTGGACAAGCAGTTGTGCACCCCAGGCTAACAAGGCGATGTTGGCCTGCCCTCTAGACCTTGAACTCTTGTTTGTCCAGCAGTTACTCTGCTCTTGGTTTTGTGCTGTCACCTTAGAATGGGAATATGAACCGTTGCCAAGAGGTTTGTGGCTCATGACATCAGCTGAACTTCAGGTCCTGGTGAGGCCTTTGTAAAGCTGCAGGAGAGCAACACTTAGAGAAACTTATAAAGACAAATACCTCCCATGTGCCTAAGACATAACAGTATCAGAAATACAGACAGCCTCTTGAAACATGAATAATGCTCTTGTGGTAGGTACAAGGCAGCAGAAGTGGTACTCTGGATAGGGCTTAAGGTTCTGCAGAATGTAGACACCATTTGGATGCAAGTAGGAACAAGCTGTAGTGTGACTTATGCCCCGCATAGTTTTCATGTTGAGTGATGGGAATGCAAGAAGTGGTCTGTTTGGTTTCTTGGATGTATCTGGTCTTCATAGCCACAGTACTAAATTTAACACTTTTAAGTTGCATATTACTATTTGTCACTATTCCTCCTCTCCCTTAACCTTCACTTAACAAACTGTGGTATACAACACTTGACCTCTTCTTCCTGCCACACCAACAAATGTGATTTTGAATGATTCCCAGATATTTAGACATTATACTTCTATTTAGAAACGTTTTATTGTAAACATCGGTAGTTTCAATGGTTAAAGATTTATTTCAGACTACCTTTTTTCCTCACTTAAAATTGCTGCGTGGGGTAAATGCCCCTAAATCTGTCTGTAGCAAATTATAGAGTCCCACTCAGGGTAGTAATGGCTGTATGATGTAGGTGAAGTGCTTTCTGGAGGGAATCTTGCTACCAGTGAGGAGTAGAGAGTTACAACAGAGGAAAAAGAAAAGCCTGGCTCTTGGCTGGAATCCAGAGATACAGACTTCATAGGGGCAGTACGTTGAGGGAAGATACTGCACAACATTACACACTTTATTGCCTTTTATTTTATAGTACTGTCCCATAGCATAGCTTTTATTTTAAAAAGCACTAGTTTCATACTGGGATTTTAAGTATAAGGTGGGAAATGATGAATACTGCAGGGCAATCAGTGGAGAGTATCAGACACTTCCCATATTCCTTTCTGTACTCATCTTGAGCTAGAGTGAACAAATATGTTCTACTTTCATCTATTTCAGGTCAAATTTATTTTCAGCTAATTACTATTCTGCTTAAGACTGAACTAAAAATTTCATACATGTAGAATTCATTCTTCACCACAGATCGAAAAACAGGAAGCCATGCCACTATCTGCTGGCTCAAGGATATCCTTGTGGATGACTGGCCATGTTATAAGGGACCCACCTGAGAAAATATTTTAGATAACTAAACAAACCTGCAGCAAGTGCTGTTCCAGCAATGCTTTGCCATGAAACAAAGAAATATTTTTAATTTTTTTTGGCTGTCAACAGAAACAAAGTACAATTTAAAAAAAAATGCCTGTTAGGTTACATAATCTATGTTTGAAAAAGGAAAGTTAATCCTATAGCATCTGTACTGTTCTTTGTTTAATTTATAAATTAAGAACTTATATGAAACATAGAAGCTTGTGTAGGCTTAATATGGATAAGAGGAAAGTAATTTCTCATTCAAGATAGTTTCCTAAAAAGAAGCAGAGGGATTAGATAAGCATTTTAGTCCAATTCTAAAATGGAAAGGCCTATGACTACCTCCAAGAAAATGCAAGTGATTAAGCCAAACAAGTATGTGAGCTTACTCTTTATTTTTAATTAATACAGAGGAGTGTTTAGGTATTGGGTTGGGAAAAGGTGTGCTTTTGTGGGAGGTTTGTAAGAATACTTTACCACAATGTTGAAGCTCTAAAAACCTGATTAGCTTCAACATTAGCCTAAAGATTCATTGCTTATCTGCAAGACATGAATTTTATTTGACTGATAGACATGGGCATTGTATTCTGTAAAATACAGGAATGATGCTGTGTAGTAAATGCCCTCACTGTTTGCATGTATTTCCATCACTAATATTTCAAGTGTTATATTAAGCTAGCACTAAGGTAGAGAAAATAACAATTCTTTCAAGAGAAAGGGATGCATTTGCTTCCATTTCAGAGCTGAACTTAACACTTCTATGAGCTTAGTATGCAAATGTTTTTTTGATAGGGAGGGCAGGTCTGTTTACTACAGAATCTGAGAATTGAGATTTACTACAGAATCTTTGAGAAGGATTCATTGGTTCTTTGATGGTCACAAATATCATATAAGAACTTTCACTGACTGTTCATGTTATATGAGTAGTGCTGGATTTGGACAAAAAAAACCCTACCAGTGAAGACACTTTCTCTGTTTTTTTTTCTATTCCTTTCATAAAGGCACATACAAGTGATTAATTTGTTACGAGAAACGGGAGCACACCTTTCAGGCCACGACTTGGAGAACATTGGAACAACACTCTGCAGGTAAATGTGATATAAGGTGAGGGGGCTCTAAAATTGGGATGGAGTAGGATGATTTTTCAGAAGAGACTCTCAGAATGGACAACAGCGTGTAGACAACTTCCAAGAGACAGTTGGCCCCCTGGAACAAGACATGGTTATGTCTGTGCTAGACTGACAATAAGGAAACAAGCAAAGCGATCAAATTAAGAATAAACTCTGTGTTGGAGCTGCAGTAACTCAAGAGAGATCCAAAGTAGGCAGTATTGTGAGGATAAGTGAACTGGAAGCAAACATGCCCTATTTTTTTCTAAGCACTTTCACTGAGGAAGGATGAGGACTAAGCTGTGCAAGGTGTGATTTAACAGCATCTCTAACGGAGAATAAAAGCTGCACACAGAGCATAATTTTTATTTTCTTATAAATCCACTTTCATTTATATGGGAATGGCTTTGACTAACTAGCATGTAACACTGTATTTAAAAATAACTAAATCAAATAGACAAATAGGTCTAACCCTCAAACTTTTGAACTGCTCACCATCTCTGTATTTAATTTTAAGAGGATATAATCCTCTGTTAAAGCTGTTTTTGCATACAGTTGCTTTTAATATATAAGGTCATTTAATGGATATATGTTCTGAAAAGAAATAGATGCTTGATTTTATTTTTTCCAGTACTGGTCCTGAATTACAAATTATTCTGAGAATTCTAAGAGGGTTTAATGTATTTCCTAAGATTACTTATAGTTTTTACTTCATTTCTTCTTCTCTTATTCTCAAAAATGAACAAGAAAACCCTGAGTAATGGTTTTCATATCACACTTGGCAGGAAACCATGAGACTTGTAGGGAACAGCCAGTGCTGTATATTGTCTACAAAAATATATGGTCAAGGTAAAGCTTCTGTGTGTTCTTTATAGAGACTGGACTCTGTCTTTTGAGTAGTTCTGGAATCAAGAAATAGCTAGAAAGTTTCCGTTGCCATAACACGCTCAGAGGAGACTGGATTATAACACTTTTACCATGAATATAAAACATGCACTTCCCAGGGCACTACAGGTGATAGGACAGAACTAAACCCTGGTGTGTGGAGTTTCCATCAGCCAAGAAGGCGAGAGGAATGGCTTAGGGAATGACATTCCTCTGCAAATAAATTGGCCCCTTATTTGGCCCTTGTGCCACGTGCAGAACCAGTTTGGCTAGCTGACCTATGTCCAAAAAAACAGAGAACAAGGGTCCTTTAAACAAAAAGTGATTCTGATGCAGTTTGTTACAGAATTTTAAGGAGGATCTCGCACCCTGCATCTGTATTGCACAGTCGCCTGTTGTTCAAAGCTGGTATTTTGATAGCAAATATTTAAGATATTTTGAAGTTGCGTTGATAGTAGTAAGTTTAGTATAAACCCACTGTAAATCTTCCAAACAGAGCAGGAGTGTACTCGTGTGCAGAGGCTGAGTGAGGACTCAGCGTGGCGGGAGGTGCTCAGGAGGAGGCTCCCCCTGCTCGGCGTGGGTCAGGAGCTGGGACTGCGGCTCTCCTGGCCAGCAGCTGCAGCCAGGGTGTGCCCACGGGCACACCTCCTACCAGGAGCACGGCCAGCCCGAGGCAGTGATCAGCCTTCAAGGTGTTGCTGAAGTGTCTGTGAATGCTGGCTCTTCGCTACACTGCTCCTGCAGAGCTGAAGGGCTTTCTTTCCTCTTGCTGTTCTAGAGGGCCTGGTATAGTCTTTTGCACCAAACTAGACTTCTTGTTCCACAGAGCATTATTCAGATGCCTAAAAGTTATTATACCTGAGGTACTAGTGTTTGTCCTTCTGCCAAAATGTCTCAGATACTTCTTCTGGAGTATCCTCAGATGACCTGACTGATATAGTAATTTTTTCAGCATGCTCAGGCTCACTTCTCTGTCCTACTTCTTACCTCCTCCTTTCAAGCCTTTTGTTTGTAGGCACTGGCACCTTCATGGCAGCCATCATGTTCACACAGTCAAGTTGCTTATAGAACTGTTTTTAACATGTTTCCTCTGTCTAATTCGAACCGTTTTCCTGCATCTCTTCTATCTCGTAATGTGCCATAGGCTGCAATTTGTACCAGTCTGGCTTTGGCAAGGCAATATGTGAACTTCTTCAGGTTTAGAAGGACAGGTTCCTTGCTTTCTGATAAGCTCTGAGTTCCTGCACTTAACTAACTTAACTTTTTTCTCCTGTGCAGCTCTGTCTGAATTGGAAGCTATAATCAGCTTTCCCCCCTTGCTACTTGCCTATCCTCAAACAAACTGGCTTTGATAAAAGACCATGAACAGGGAATTTTGTGTTCTAATACTGTCTCCTCAGCTTCCCTCTGTTTAGACTAATGATTTTTAGAATAGAATAGAATAGTTCAGTTGGAAGATTTTGGAGTTGAAATAAAAATAAATGTGCTCCTTTGGCATTGGTGATGTTTGAGAGGCAAAGGCAAACTAACCAGAACTGAGATGGTAGCAGGAAATCTTCTTGTGTAGAAAATGGAGATGCACATAGGCACAGCCAAGATGATCTCATTCTTATATCCTTAATGGTTTCATTTGCTGGGTTTTTTTTAGGAAGTGAGAGGTGTTAGTCTGCTTTTTGGAATCACTTTGTTGGTGTGTGGTATCTGGTTCATGGCTTTGTTTTGAAATGAGAAAGATCTCAATGTTAGTAATCTGTCAAATATGTCAGTCTCTTTTCACATTGCAGTAGTATTGTCGTCTGTGTGCAAAACCAAACCATGAGGAGATAAATTGGGACATCAGACTTATTCTGAAGGCTTGTCAAGTTCTGGAGTGGGTAAACATTTGCTTTGTGGATTTTTTTAAAGGGAAAAAGCCTGTATAGAATTAAGATACTCTGTTCAAGTCTGTACTTCACAAAAATAAATAGGGATATAAGGCCAAACCAGCTTTCTCTTTCATATTCTTAGATGTCATAAAATGATACAATAGGATATACAAGGATGACACCTTTCAAAATCAGCAACTTTCAGAATAAGATGCCTCTTTAATTTAATATAAATTTGGGGGTTAAAGCTTAGGGAGGAAGGGTAAATATACCTCTGCAGGAATTAGGACCAAGCTTCTAATACCTGTTAGCTTTAAAATAATTCTCTCAACTGAGAGAGACCTGGAGATACTAGCTAAGAACAGCATCCCCAGCTGTGTTCATGATAGAACAAACCATGCCTTTTGCTGGACTTTTAACTTGGTTTTTGAGGACTTTCTAAAAAAAAAAAAAATATATATATTTTTTGTCTTCTGGCAGGGTGATGATGCACGTTAAGAAAAAAAAAAAGTGTCTTTTCTGGTCACTTTATATAACATAGACACTGAAAAAGGCGAATAACTGAAAAAGCAAAGCTTTGTGTCCCTGGAAAAGATGAAATCCTAGTACCTGCGGAGGCAGGAGGGAACCCCAACGTGACATTTCACCGAACTCATTACTTCACAGGTCTAGAACTGCATTAGCCCTTGTTCTCCTGAACCCTCTGAGACTTGAACTGCTTTGCTCCTGATACCCTGACAGTGACAGAGCACCCCTTAAGCAGCAGCTCCTGTAACCAAGTCTGCTTGATGCTAGCATAGCAGGAGACTCAAAATCAGACAGCAAGATTGCATTATCACTGTTTGTGATACCTTAGCTCTGTCATCCTCACAGATAGGTTAGCTGTGCTGAAACTGTGAACCAGGTACACAATCACCTTTTCTAAATGCAAGAGTACTGATAGGCAGCATACCTGGGATTATCTGCTGTAAAAGGTATCAGAGATTAGTAAAGTGTGTTAAGTAGTTCTTTCTCAACAAAGCAGGTTTTAAACGTCCTGATAAGTGTGTATGGAAGTTATCTGTATTCCATTTCATAATATAAAAAATGATAGACTTGCTGCTCAGAGGATGCACTTGTAGTTGGAATTGCTGGCATAAATATCTTTGAGAAAAATATGGAGCAAAGGTCCCTATAGTGTATATTGAGAAGTCCTATGTGTATATTTGACTACACACGAGGTACACTTGCAACATAAAGGAAATACAGATGCGTATGGCTTGGCTACGGGGATCTGGAATTGGAGGTGTTTTGTGGTGTTCTTGATTATAATCAATTTAGGGAATAGTAGCTATCTTCTGTTTAGAGCGGTATCTAAATTTTCTCGCAAGCTGTATCATTTTTTGCTCAGTGGGGCTTAGTCCCCATAGAATACCTTTCTCACTTGGTCAGTAAATGGGTGCTGCAAAATTGAAGATACGTCTGTGTATTTGGATTGCTCTACTGTCACAAGAGGAGACCACTTCATGGTTTTGACCTCTGGCAGTGTGGGTTAAATTGCTCTTTCTGAACAGGTGCTATTAGGCAGTTAATTTTCAAGTAAGTGCAGTAGCCCTCCTTTGTTGCTTACAGTGATGCTAGCTGAATTGCCCTGGGTGTGTAGGTTGGTAATATTTCTAAGTGTGCTGGTCTTTGCCCAAAGTGGTTTCTGCTTTGCATGCGGCTAATGATGAGATTCTGTTGGGCAAATACAGCGCTTTCCTGTTCAGTGTTGGAGGTGCTTGTAACTCTCACTTGCTACATAGGCTTTTTGTTTGGTTGGTCATTCCTTAATTCTGGGACCTTCCAGTGTTAACAGCAGGAGACTTGTCTTTTTAAATGAAGCTGATTCTTGTGTTCCAGAAGTGGCTGCTAAGCAATTTCTTACCTGCTTTACTAATGCCAACTTCTTCCTGCAGTTTTCTTAAGGACTTCCCAGTGAGCTTCCTGTTAGATCTCCTTTGCCTTGCTCCATTTCCTTATTGCTTCTGAGGCACCTTTTTTGTGATGGCAGTTTTCATTAATGATGTGATGATCCTTTTCCTCATGATGTCAGACCGAAGCACCGTTAAACCTCATAACACGCCAGTGCCACTTCCATCCCCCAAAGGCCCCAGCTGTTGGTCTTCTGCCTCACAGTTGATGGTGTTGCATGGAGGAACACAAAGACCATTTGCTTTCCCTTTTCATGCCTAGCCTCTGAGACTGCTGCAAGCAAAAGCTTCTCTATGACTTTCTCCTCAGACTGCTGCAATTAGAGGTTTCCGCTCCCCAGAAAACATTTTTTTAGGTACTTAAAGAGATTTAATTAACAACACAAGTTATTTCAGCCTAGCAAAGAAGTGAAATTTGCAGCCCTGCTTTCAGGGTTTTTTCCATAAGCTTACCTGACTGCCTGCCTCTTGCATCTTCCAGCCTTATCCACTCTCCACCAGGTCTGGCTGGCTGGGTTGTCATACCCAGGAGCCTGTCATCCTCCACCCCTGCTGCCAGCAGTATCAGGAGTATGCCTTTCCCCCACAGCGAGCACTGTTTAAGGCAGCAAACTCTGAACTTATTAAGTTTGGGGAGGGTTCCCCCTCACTTAATGAGATTCAACCTCACTTGATGATTATCGGCGTGGCTCTACTGAAACTACCTGTGAGCACATGACAAGCTGAGGTCTGAAGCCTGACAGATGTTGGTACCTTGAGGAAACTGAAGATAGTCCTCCCAGCCTTGCTGCCAGTTCAGCCTGTCCACAGGCTCGGTACAGACAGCCATGCTTTTGCATATGTATGGGCTGTTAGCCCTTCTTTTGCCAAAATTAAAGTTAAAAATGAACCTTAAGTGTTATGGATGAGACTACCAGCAGATGTGTAAAGAAACAATGTGGCATGCTCCTTGCTGTTGCCATACATGGCAGATAGAGACTGTTTTTAAAAGTTTTTTTTTTCTTGCTGACATTTCAATCTTACAAATTATCTTAGAAAGCTCAAAAAAAGTAGCTGTGTTACTGTCCAAATGATATCATATAAATATGCTGTCATCACTTCTGATAGCAAAGTTATGCAACCTTGTGAAGGAGGTTCTTAATGGTTTTAAGTAAGGCACGCTGACTGCTAGCACATCTGCTCGTGCGCTCATCTGCATCTGGATTTACCCATGCCACGGTTTGGGGTCAGGGCACCCCCAGAACCAAAACAGGAGCTCTCTGTTAACCCCCTCCCCCATCTCGAAAGGGAGGGAGAAAGGGAACAAGGAAGATAGACTTATTGAAAAGAAAAAAAAAAGAAGATAAAAGAAGAGAAATTAAAAGAAAGCTTTAATACAACAAATAATAATAAAATAGAATATGTACAAATATATACAAAATTAGTACCAAACTTAACCCTCCCAATGGCAACGTGTCGCCGTCACCCCCCGGCTGGGGAGCAGCCCCGGGGAAAGGCCCCAGGCTGGACTCAGCCACAGACAGCGACTGGGTCCAGGAGCTGGATTCTGGAACTCAGTTCGGGGACACGTGGCAGGATGGATGGAGTCCTCCTCCGGTGCAGCCACTGCAGGAGCAGCCAGCAGCCCAGCAGAAGGAGAAGAGAGATGGAAGGGTGACCAAAGGGGTGACGGAAGGGGCTGCCTCTTCTGGTCCTTCAGCTTTTCTGGATATGAGGGCTGTGGGATGGAACACCCCACTGGTGAATCTTGGGGTCAGTTATCCTGCCTGCTCCTCCCCGCAGGTGCGGGGTGCTCTCTGCCCCCCTCCGTGTGGGATACAAGCTTAGCAGTGGCCTTGGTCTGCATCCCAGTCCCTGGCAGTAACTCCAAACATGAAGTGTTATCACTGCTAAAACAGACAGTTGGTGAAAATGCTGCTAACTTCAGACAGTGCAGTTAATTAGAAGAGCTTTAGCTGAAAAGTAAAAATCATTGAGCAGGACCAGCTCTGTTTTACCCCAAACCAGGACAACCCATTACCCTCCCCCCAACTCATTTCATGAGATAAATATTGTGTTGTGAAATATGAAACTGCTTGACTTTTTTTCCCCTTTGGTCATGGTCACACCCACTATGTGAAACTAGCCTGTTGTAAGTACTTATAGCACAGCCCTAGTAATTTAAGGAACTGATTCATCAAGCTGTGTTGCTTGCTCAGCTATTCAAAGCTGTTGTAATAGTGTGCCTCTACTTACCACTCTGCTCTGGCAGCCATGTTGAGCCTCTTCTACTTCAGCGTTTGCCTGCTGAGCTAGAGGACAGGACCCAGGAGCACACTGAAATGGGACTGAAAGATCTAGAACCAATATTAATGATTCTTTTTCCAGCCTTACAGCTAAAGGTGATGTGGATGGGCTGTATGCCTGGTACCTAGCTGGTGCAGACCTGGAGCAAACTGGTTATGATGGCAGGAATCCCCGACAAGTAGTAAGTGTGCTGTGCCTGTACTCTGTATGGCGTGCCAGCTGTGTGAGTAAGACCGCATGCTGTCGGGTCGTAGTAGTTTAGGAAAAGTAAATGTTCTTTGGGGACTATAAACCAGATTAGAGTTTGTTACAAACTCAAGTCTGATGCTGTCCCAAAGTAATAAATTGTTGGAGACAGGATTTTCTCATCTATAATATCAGAGGAATTAAAATTTAAATTGTATTTTAATTATTTTGTGGTAACGTATCCTTACTTCCCACAAGTAAGTATTTGCATGTCCTGGTGCACAGGATGGCAGGATTTATTCATGTTTCTATTTACAGGCAGAGGCTACGGGGCATAAGAAGGTTCTTGACTTCTTTAGAGAAAAGAAGTAAAGAAGGTAAGACCCCATTTTCAAGTGACAGATCTCTGAAATCTGCGGATCAGCATATACATTGATGAGGAACGATTTTGTACTTGAGCCCTAGTTCACCCTAGGGCATCTGCGTTCAACTGCTGTCCCTGCCTTAGTTTCTGATATGACTCTGAGTACTTTCATACTTCTTTGTAGAGCAGGGCTAATGTTTATTCCTCCCTTTGCCTGAGCTTTGAAGTGCTTTTTTATGGTATGCTCCACAGTGTGGTTCTCAACTTGTTTGGGAACGTAAAAGCTACCAAAATAAAACCACTGAGGGCAGGAATGTCTTCTTCCATTGGCCCATTGCAATATGTTGCTCCTCTGTTTTGGCTGCCTTAGAGAGGAAATGCCCTTTACTTGGCACTTAGCCAGGCCTGGTTTTGAGGGTGCCACAGCACAGGGAGCAGAACCTTCTCCCATAGAACAGCGAGGCAATCACAGCCGTTCGGCTGCACAGCCTCCTGCTCAGGAGGTGCTACTGTGGCACCTGCAGCATTTCCACTTGGGCTCTCCCTCTGGGTTTTAATGGAGCAGCATATGCCAGCCTGTCTTCTAGTGTCATGTAGTCAACCATCATGGATAGGAAACATGGGGCAGATTTGTAATGGACAGGAGTTAATTGTCCTACACCCACAGACTGCAGAAGGCTCTCTTTCAGCAGAGAGCTCTGCTGAGGGTTTGCTCCCCCTCCAGGCATGGGACAGGGCAGTGCCATGGCTTGTGTCTTACTCAGACGTCAGACGTAGCTGCCTGGTTGCCTCTGACATGGACTCGCAGCATGGATCTTTCTTGTGCTGCAACATGCAAGGGATGTTTCCCTAACCATGTGCGTGTGGGGTGGGTGGGAGCCTCGTGTTCAGGGCATCAGATCTGATAAGCCTTCCATAGGAAACTTGTTGGGGCGTTTGACCTTCTCCAGTGCTGTGCTGTAACTGGAGTCATTTAGAACACTTCCCTTTCATTTCTCAGAACTCCTTTATGTTGCAATACATTGTTGATTTAGATACCTCTTTTCCAATATATTGCCAGGTCTAATCCAAATTTAAATATTGGGAGGAGATGATCTCCTTCATTTAATAAAGCTAACACAAAATGTAATTGAAGGGTTTGCTGCATCCATGGCTACCTTGCCACTTGAGTGTCCCATTTGATCAATGTGACTGAATTCATGTGTATGTAAGTGGGGAACTGCATCTCCTTTTTGAATCACTGTGTACTGGTCTAAATGAACATAGGACAGACTTTGGCTGGTTTTGTTTTCCTGTACAGTTTTGGGGGGTTCTTCATTTTTAGCTGATACAGAAGTATTAGACATAATCACAGCCTCAAGGATTTAAATTGAAGTTTTCCAGTATCCAGTGTGAAGGTGTTAAAAATACCTTAATAATATGAGCTACGTTGCAAAGGGATTACCATTTTAAGTGAAATATATCTACGAAAGTAATTTTTATTTTGTAAATGGGCAGTAAATGTGTTAAATCTTCAGATTCTTCATGGATCATCTCTTCATTCCTTTGGTCTGAGCCACCAGTTGCATAGGCAGTCTGAAGGAAGTCTTCAGTATCGCATGAGGGCTTGCCTGACAGGCTGCAAAGTAATCTCTTCTTGGGAAGGTTTTGGATACTGCCTAGTTCTAAACATCCATTTTCTATTTCTCCAGAGGCTGTAGAAGATGGTCACTCCTCTTCAGAAATACCAGCTTTGAGCATTCATGGAGTTAAGCCATTATAGAAGGAAAAGAAGAAAGGAACAATGGTAGCTGCACTTGGAGCATACAGGAAAGCTAGAGCTTAGAAATGTTTTTTATTTAGAGTTACATTAAGTTCTTACTGACTTTCTAAAAATTATTTGCTGCTTTATCTTTTAACCACTTCTTTTTAAAAGAAATTTTTATAAACAGGTGAGGCTGGGATGTATTGCCTTTACTGTACACATTCTGTTTTTAAAGAAGCCTTTTGAATCTTATGTTAAATCAACGAGGACAATATTGCAGGCGTAGAAAATGGAAATGCTGTGGTGAATTCATACCGAGAAAAAAAAGTGGATTGTGCATTTCTGGGTTTCAGCTAATAAAATCTCTGAGGAACAATGTTGGTTTCACTTTGTTTTTTGCAATGGCTTGTGTCACTTTGGTTGCAATTACAGCAATTGTGAGTGTCAGTGCAAACAATTGAATCAGTCATGGGCATCTGCCTGCAGTTGTGTACTAATCTTCACCAATGTGTCACTATAAAACCTCACTTAAAATGAGTAGGAGGCAGATGCCATAAAGCATGCTTGTGGGACTGTCTAAGTGAATTGATTGTTTTGTTTCTAATAGCATCTTTCCCACATCCTGACCGGAATATAATCAAGATTGCTACACGCTGGACACATAATTTTTTGGACTAAATGTGATCTCAGTATTAACATACCCCAAGTTTAAACTCCCAGCACTTTCAGACTGAATAAAAAAACCCAATAGATATCTTTACAGCTGTGTCTGCCCTAGAATATGTAAACATAAAGAATACTTCAGGCAAATGCATATATTGGAGATGGCAGCTTTTAATTTCACCTGCAGCTTCTGCAGTAATCTATGTGGATTTTCTATCTGCTTCATCTGAAGCAAAATCTTTGAAGTGCAGATAGTTTTTTTTCTTTTTCCTCTTTATACTCTTCAGCCTTCCCACAGATATTCTTACGATGGAGAAAAGCTGCATGGACTACTTGCTGAGCCTGCTAGTATTAAAAGATTCCCAAGGTATGTTGCATATCACATCCCCTTAAAACAAGGTAACTGTGCCTGTAGTCTGAGGAAGCGCTATATACACCCCAGTTAAAACCAAAACGTAAAAATGTATGATTTTGTAATGGGAAGAGTAGTGCACCTCTTCACTATGGTCACAAAGTCTACAATATGCTGTTTCATTATTAAATAATTGATATTATATAGCAATAAACATGTTTTAGTTTGAAAAGAATTAATACTGAGTTAAGTAAATTGTATCTATCTAGCTTAAAAAATCAGGCTTCAAATTCATTACCTTTTTGGTGCCTTATCTGTAAATACATAAAGGCAATGTATGTAACAAAGTAATGTTTGTGAAAAATGTTTACAGTCAGGAGAAAAAGCATGCACAGGCTCTTCTTCCTATAGTATTTAGACTTCCTGTCTGAACTCTTGCCTTATCAATAATCTAAAAGTTGATGCACTGAACTAGAAAAGCCCTGGCAAACTTCTCCGCAAGTCACTTTCTTGGGATCAGAATTTTTTTTTAATGATTCTCAGATGCAGTAATTTGTCCCTAGCAACATCCATTCTTTATTTCTGTACCAGAATGAATGACAGCAACATATACAGAAGCATCAATAGTTTCCTTATACTTTTCAACTACAGGTTGATTTGATCTACAGAAAACTTTCTGAGCAATAATGTTCTTCTATTTCTAAAATAAAACACCCATCTAAAGTATAAAACTTTTATTTTTTTTTGAACAAAGGTATTCTGGAAGGAGTTACTGAAATAATAGGTCTTAACAGGAAAACCGAAGGAGAGGGAAGAAAACAGAGAAACAATTTTCTTCCTGTATATTATCCAGGTAAAGACAAGAAGGACAACATTTAGAAATGTGATCCAGTTAGAAAAGCTTTAGTTAGACTCTCATATAGCTAAAATGATTTGGGTCATGTTAATGATGAGAATAAAGCAGCATTAGCTTCTTTCTGACAAACTTTTACAGAAATGTATAACCTATTAATGTGTTGTCTTGCAAAAGATAGTATTCCTGCAGCTTTCTAGAAAGTTTGCCATTTGCCTCATAAATACATCAGTATCTAAACAGATCTCTTAATGGCAAATGCGTGAATGCAAATTTCACATTTATCTGAGAAAGAACTCAGTCTCTCTTATATATGTCAAAATTTCATTCAAGAACTGTAACAGTCTACAAGCATTAAAACTCTGTATAGGCTGCTGTGATTAAAGTGGCAAAAATCACCCAGGCAAGGCCAGAAACCTTGGATCTTGATTCAGTGTTGGGGACAAACTTCAATAACACTTTTAAGTACCTGTGTTTGTCTTGTTTGTCTGTTACACCCTTTGCTCTGTGTAGTGGATTTAATAATCATAATTATACTCTCTGTGATAACTCCTAGGCTTATGATGAAGCTATTTGTGTGTAGTAACCCTTAAGCTTTGCATAGGTATTGGTCAAAAGCAAAATCTTGTTATTAGTAAGGAATGAAAATTCTATTTGTTTCTACCTATTTGTTTTAGTTACTGTAAGCAGCTGAGCATCTTTTATTAGTTAAAATATACTAGGCATTCTAGGGGAGCTTAATTTCTTTAAACATCCTAATTTTTCTCCTTCAGATCATACCTGAAAAGATCAAATAAGCTCTTTTTATCCAGCCATCTTCTCCTTGGTAAAGGTTTGCAGATAAAGCAGCCGCAGAGGGCCATTACTAATGCAAACACACTCATTCTGTTGCTGGAACTAGCTGGGGGTCCATTTCGTAACTTCTGTAGCAGCTTAACTCCAGTCACCCATGATGTCCATGTACCCTTTCATATCTACATCCAGTTGTAGTTTGTTAGATCTAGCACATACTGTGAGGAGCATCCGTAGATCTGTGCTTGGTATTTGTTGCACAGTACACACTGGAGTAGCATAGTAGAAGCTGGATGGATTTTGTTGTGCATTTTTTGGTGCAGAAAAGCTTGTGATATTTTTTAGTATCAGCTTTTAATGCTTACTGGAACATAAAAGTGACATTTCAGTTTCTGTTAGAAAATGGCAATGGCTCCCCTTCTTTTCCAGCCTCAGTCTAATAAGGCAAGTGTTCAGGCTGCAGCTTTCCTCATCCTGCAAAATCCCCAGCAGGTGAAATGCCAAGCCAGGAAAGCACAGAAGCTCCTGAGACGAGGCTGAGAGGCTAGCACGTGAGCATCAGAGGGGGTCTGTGACCCTCCTGTTCTCCACCATTTCAGCAGTGACTATAGAACAGCATGAAGGCCTTGTCAATGGTGTGGGCCTCGTAGCTGCTGCACAAGTATTGGATTTGTTTCCAGTGTTGAACCTTTCAAGTTGGGGTGATGTTCTGGGAATGAAGGCTGGTGCTGGAACCTCTGCTGCCTCTCCACGGAGGAGACGCTATGAATGCCTCCTGTAAAAGTCAAACATTACATCAATTCCACAGCTTTCTTCACTTGAAAGACAACACCCAGCTTCCACTTTGTTTCTTTTTCCTAATGATCCAGCTAATACTGCCAAGGGATAGGGACTACTTGGCCTATGTCAGCACTTCTCTAACACTGCAGTAAGAAGAGATTTGCACAACTAACATGTCCAAGTTCCTGTCTGATTTGAGTTACAGCTTTCCTTTCCTGAATGCAACTGCTTTCTTTTTTACTCATATCTGAGAACATTAAGTTTGTGTTTGGAGAGTCTCTTATAAAACTTCTGTGATGGAAGGGCATTCTTCATTATTTGAAAAATCAGTGTGTGCTTGCTGTCTTATTGCGTGTCATCTCGGTAAACTGTTAACATCTGTCAAGGCTGGCTGACCCACTGACAGATTGACTGTGTCTGGTCAGTGCTTCAGTGCTTGCAGAATTAAATCAACTGTTCACCAAGGCTTCAGTATCTGCTCATTCTTCTTAAATTGCTAAATAACTCCAGTTCTGCACTATATACTTAGAATGACTGTACTATAGTATGTATCAGTTGTCTAATACAAGGATTTTGGTGTTTGGCAATGAGTAATAATGAAATCTCTCATCTGGAACTAAACCCCTTTAGCCTCCTTAAATTAGAGTTTCTTTATTTGCAGTCTCCTGGATGGTATGATCTACTGGGATTCCTCCAAAAACATTGTGACCTATTTGGAAAATGATTCCATTTTTACAGCAGGTTTGAGTAGAGAAATGACTAAGGAGGATATGTATCCCTTGTACATAGAAGACAGACTGCATTCAGTTCCACTTGCACACAAAGTATTAATGGATCCATAGTGCTGTTGAATTCTGCCATAGGTATAATCCATTCTCCAGCTACCTGTGCTGATCCCTTTGTAGGACCTACCACAGCACTGTAAGAAATAAAATTCTTTTAGTTTACAGCATCTCAATTTGTTAGGTCACTGAGATAAACCTGAAGTAATTGTATTATTGGTGAAGACAAGAAATTATAAAGAACCGATCAAATGCGTGCAGTGTACATCATCACAAGCACTGCTGACACGTTCGTGTTTCTTCCAAGTGGACTCTATCAGCAGCATAATCATCTTCTAGACTAGTAAGACTAGTCTTTCCATGATTCTTTAACAATGTTTTATGACACTCTAGTGCTTTATTGCACGGTTGTAGCACCGCTTTCATTTTAGTGACTCTTTTAGAAAAGCTGCTAATGTAGTAAGCTTATAAGATATATAAAATACTCTGCCGAACCATACAAATGAATCTGTGGGACTCAAATGTTGCCATCTTAGATAGTCCATGAGTCAGAATGAAATCTGGTACTACCAGATTTATTATTTGTGCAAAGTGTCTACTTGAAAATTACTTTGGAAGCTTCATTATACATACATTTGTTTACCTGTGATCAGGTGAATGGGGAGAAGCAGAAGCTTGCATCTCAGAAGTGTAGCTGAGACGAGTGTCCTGAATCATAGCAACAAAATGAACTGTTGAGCTTAAACCACACAGAATAGCACTGCTTAATGTGGCTCTGTTTGGAAGGGTTGATACAAATCTCAGGAGGATATTACAGATGGGGCCCACGGCTCCTCACAGGCTCCACTGGCAGGGAAGGGGCAGTGCCCCTTTCCCCCTCGCCCAGCCCTGCCAGGGCTCGCCTGTTGGGACATGCTCAGCGGGTGCATATCTTGCTCACTCCCACTGGCATTTGGAGCTACACACCGGCACCTCCCTCCCACTCCAGGGTGCTGCACATCAG